AGGTCTGCTTAGAAGTGGATAGATTGAGTTGTTAGATATATCATCGGGTTGCGCTTTTCGAGTCTGTTGTTCACGTGAGTTTGAAACCAGGAAAATCATGAATTAAGAATGTTGTAGGACAAGGCTTCCCGAATCGGGTGTCGCGACCCCGTGGGCGGTGCGTAACGATTGTTAAGGGTCGCGAAGAGTACACTAAGTACTATATTAAACTTAAATATAGAAACGATTCCGAGAAGCGGTGCGCTTGCAAAACAATGCGGACTTAACAGAACTCGTGGAAAGTTTTAATATATTGGAAGAGTTTAAAAGTTTGGGAAGTCCTGTTATAGGATATATCACATATGCTGTTAAAAATAATAAGCTTCATTTAATTGATGAGGTATTCAGTTTTTTGCAATTCAGTGGTCGCACTAACTCATAGTCTTTTCACTCCTAAACGAGTGTGTGTTACTATATTCCGAACAAATTCACTTTCGGTTTGCGCTTAAGTTTATAAATGTTAACTGTATTAATAGGTGACCGTACATTTGAACCCATGTACATTTGAACCCATGCGTATATCCACGGGTTCAATCTATATGCGGGTGCTAAAACCCATGGGTTAGGGTTAGTATGGGTTTAACTATCCGTGAAACAAAAAAAATTCTATGCAGGTGCAATTGTCATGGGTTCAAATGTACGTGGGTTCAAATGTAATGGAACCGTATTAATAATCAAAAATGCGTAGTACGGGTTCGCGCTTGTTATCAGAAATTGTACATTTTATTAGCGTATTTAGAACTTTCTTAACTTCTATATGTAGAGTTCATTACTTCATAGGTGTTTCCATGATCGTTTTGAGTTCGATTTTTTTCCTGGAACTACTGTAATGAAAATAAATTAGAATTTATGAAATTTAACAAGACGAAGTTCCTGCGCAGGAATATCGGTTTATTTGCAAGAGATATTCTTCGTCGCCCGTGCTGTGCTAATACTATTCAATTTTTTAAAATCAATCAAAACAATTTTTGTTTATTCTTGAATATATTACCAAAGTAAGTCTCTAAAATAAAAAGTAAATTAATTTAGATGTGAAGTATCATCCGCGCCGTGTGAAAATGCTAATTAATTTGCGAAAATCAATCACAATTTGCTATTTCTGAACATGTGACTAATGTATATAGATGTCGAAAACTTTAACGCTAAAATTATTTTAAAAATAAAATATGTTTTCGATTTCTCGGTGATGTTACAAACAGATTATTTACTAAGCTTTGTGTGATCCAATCATTGGATTATGTCGTCAGAAAGAAAGGTCATAGTTGACTGAACCTCATTCCGAGATTAGCTTTGTCTCACATATTTCCAAAGCTGAGTGTCAATCATAGGAAATTCAAGTCGGCGCGAAAATTTGGATTAGTTGGTATTTTTAACGTTTTTTGAACTATCTATTATAACGCCCTGTAGCGCTGGGCTAGAAATGGCACGTCTTATGCACCGAATTTACTGAAAGATAAGTGGGCAAGCGTACGGTATATGGTCAGCCGTGAGAGAATAAAAAAAAATACACCTGTAACTTAATAGGAAATTTGGAAACAAATAAAACTGCTAAAAAGCGACTATTTCTATCTTTGGGTACTGTATTTAAAATAGAATGATACATTAGTTGTAAACAAAGCAAATTTTTTTTTATTGAAAATATTGTGGCAAAGCAATCCAAATTTAAGCTCCAGGTCTAAAGATGAAGCGAACTGCGCGACAAGGCTCACTAGATCCACAGGACCAGTACATTCCACAGCTTTTGTATTTTAGGGAGGGGGGGGGGGGGGGGGTCCCAATTTTAGGGGGTGGTAAAGATATTTGTAACTTATAAAAGTGTGTTATGTATTTGGCTGATCATATGCACCGGCTGATGAGCCAATTTCTGGATATTCAAAAACAATTTTATTTATGTTAAGAATTTAAGTATGATGTCACACCTGAAAATTAGGGGGGTGTTTGGTGTTTGAAATTTTCGGGGGGGGGGAGGGGGGAGAATTATTGCCTGGGACCAATTGTGATGAGATATAGGCTTAGCGGCGTATGTGTTTTGTGATATTGATCGGACCACAAAAAGCTTAAAATCTTATACCATCGGATTCTATTTTTAATCTGCAATGATTTTCCCTATCATATTTGATTTATCTGTTTATTACTTTTTTGTCATTTCACGGAGTAAATATTTACGGGTTAGAGTTGCGAGCACAAAACCTTAGCTTTAGGGTCTGTCTGATTCTCAAATATAAAGCGCCGTCTTTAATAGAAAACATCACTATCACGACTGTTATGACTTCACGGATGTGCTAGTAAATACATAGAATAAAGCCCGAACGCAATGGTTCTCAAACGGTGAAACTAATTAAAAATAAAAATATTTCTTAGATCTGATCTTGTCCGCCTTATTTTGGATATTTACATTTCTTTATTTTAAATATTTAACGTATTTCAACGTTTTTTTTAATATAACATACTTTTGCTTTACTATCTGTTATTTGTAGCTTATTGGTAACAAATTATTTTGACAAATTTGAGACTTGAAAAATTCTAAAAAGAGTGCGCTACTTGAAAAGTTTTAGAACCGATGATATTATGTAAGTGTGTTTCAAGACACAACGGCGAATGTGGACACTTCAAAAAAGCTTCAAGCTGATGCCGACATGGGCAGAGTACGGCACGCGGGGCAAATCCGGCCCGTTAGGTAATTCAATCTGGCCCGCCTGATGCTGCCACAACCAAACTGAAACCAAATTTTGATATTTTAGCTAAAAATAACTCAAGGAATTTGTTGAGATTGTGATTAAATTTAGTTTTGACACAAGGCTGATTGTTTTCCATTGTCGCTTCTGTAACACTGTAAATATTGTTCATAAGATGTAACTTTTTACGTCGCACTCACATGGCCCGCCAGTATAAATGGGCAAAATTTTTGGCCCCTGGTCCAACCCCCCCCCCCCCCCCCCCCCCATATGCTAATGGATATATATATATATATGTATTTGTGCGATGCAGATGTTAGTAAAGAGCGTCTGACCAATAAGTGTTTCGAAAAAAACGTGCAAAATGAAACATTAGTGCTTTACGAAATGTCTAGATTTTATTCGCGAATAAAGAAAATCTTCTTTTGCTCGTCGAGAAAAAAGTTCTCGGTGAGACGGTAACACAAGGTTGAAGCGCCCCAAAATTTATACGAAACAAGAGATGAGAATAAACGTACGGAACGAGATACTTAAATTTAGTTTCTGATATAGCATATCGCGTTTCTCGCTTAGCGAGGATAAATTTCTAGATCGGTCGAGGTAAACAGCACTACGATAGCCACGTAGACAGTTTAGTCAAGGCGAGCGAAAGTCCGAACGCTAACTTCTTGAATATTCGATTTTGATAGCAATTGTATATTGATTTATGTGTCTAATTAGGTGCTTGTATAGAGATTTGGGGGGTCCCGAAGTATATGTACCAAGATGACGCACAACCTGACCATAGTATGTGTACCAGGTTAGGCTTCAGGTTGTGCGTCATCTTGGTAAACATACTTCCGGAACATACAGACTTATACGGAACGACCACAGTAAGCTGTTTCATATACTTGATTTATATTTCTTCATGCGCAGTTTTGATTTCGCCTAAGATAGACTTGTCTGGAGCTTTTTACGGAGTGGGCATAAAGCTTATAATTACGGGTGTATTATGATAATTCGACATTTGTAAAGTTACGCATGAGTGATCCAATTATGACAGATGAATAATGAATAACTATATATAGCATGTGCAGTAAAAACTTCGCCTTATTAATACATGGTAGAACTTCGCAAAATATGATGGATATGACACTCGGGATTTAAGAATTATGTAAGCTCTGGAATTTGGCGTTTTTTTTTTGCAAAATTCTGCAATATATGGGTGCATGGTTTTTGTGCTTAGATGCAGCGTGTTTTTATTTTAATCATATACCTTGGTGGTTGGAGTTATGGTTCAAATTTTGGCGCTCCAAAAGTATGTGTACCAATAGGCGGTAACTAATTTTGTTTGCCTATTTTACATCAAGTTGTGTAAAGGGACTGAAGCCTATGGGCAGGGGTTATAATCACTTGGCTAACACAGACAGTCCCCGAACTCATAATAGAATTAAAAAAAGAAAAACTGGATTAAAATTATGGCTTAACCCTAACCTGGTACACATACTACGGGAGTACCGTGCTGTGTTCTTCCTCAAATCTATATGTTTTCATATGATTGGCAGTGTAGTAAAAGTTCATTTCTTTTATACTCAAGTCTTCGACAAGACTTTGCAGTATACGTATCGATGAATATTGACTGCAAACTGTAGGATCGGGCCATGTATGATTTACCCCGGGTTATCCTTGTGACGTTAATACTATAAATGTGATAGATGACACCTCGGCAAAAGGGGAGGGTTTTAGAGTCTTGTTTTATGTTTGCAGGATTTGTGTATTTTGCAAACAAACACGTTTCACGAACAAATTTTTGTAAATTCATGGGAGAGATGGCTTAGTGCAGGGATTGGCTAGGTTTTTGAACCAGGGGACAACAATATTGCCCACCTAGACTGACAGGCCATGTAAGTGTGACGTAAAAAGTTACATTTTATGAACAAAGTTTTACAAAAGCAAAAGTGAAAAACTAATAAGCCTCGTGCCAAAACTAAATTTCATCGCAATCTCAGCAAGTGAGCTATTTTTTTTTAGCTAAAACATCAACATTTGGTTTTAGTTTGGCTGTGGCAGCATCAGGGCCAGATTGAATTACCCAACGGGCCGGATTTGGCCAGCGGATCGTAGTTTACCCAAGTCACCCCTTTATTTCCCTCCGTATACGATTTTGGACAAGTTTTGTCTGGACAAATATAGAGCCTGGTAACGCAATATTACAATATGGGAACAACATATACAATGTATTTCACTGAATTTCAGCAGCAAAAAATGATCTAGAAATATAATTAAATGCAAATTTTTTTTTTAGTGTTAAAAGCTATAATAAGTATATATATAGTCAAGAGATCTTTATAAAAACAACATGGCCAGCACTGTCGCATCACGTGGAACAGAACGACTTTCAAATGTGGAAACGCCAAAATCTGAGGGAGGAAGCCCGAAAATTACGAGAAAATTGCGCGGGAAAAGAGCAAAAATTGGCGGCAAAGTCGTTCTATCATGTGCAGCCAACGTTTGTGACGACACAAAGATAACGTGGTTCAAGAATGGCGCGGAATTCACTGTTCCTTTTGTGACATCACAAGAAGAAAATGAACACAGGGTTTATTCGACAATAAATGAAGGTAAAATCAAATGTATATTACATTGTTTAAACCAAGGCCGCGTAGTTTGGCTTTCAATGGAGCCGAGGTCGGGATTGCAGACTTTTTATTGTGGTAAAAGTACTACTACGGAACTCACTGCAGAAACCCGGAGAAAGTCTTGTATAAGTCAAAGTTTTTGCTATCAAATTTTTTCGGAGTCGGAGTCAAAATTTTTACAACCCGGATCCGGAGTCGATTGTGAATTTTTTCTGACTTCTTGGCCCTGGTGTATTAGACTCAAAGTGACTAGGTCGAAGCCGAATGGTTTACTATTCCGAATACATCTGTAATATTATTTTTTCAGATTGATTTATAAATTGAGTCACTTTTACCATAATATGCTTTTACACATATTAACGTAGATTTATAATAAAAAAAACAGAAGGTTTTCAAGATGGCTACTACCAACGACAACGACGAGTTAAAGGCTGTAAATTTTCACTGTGTGCCAATGTGCAGCAGTTTTTTTCACTTTTTCTCTAAAATTTACAACTACTCCATTCTTTCAGATGAAATTGAACTCATCATAGACAACGTGCAACGTGACGATGCCGGTTACTACTTATGCGTCGCCTCCAATTCACAAGGGGAAGCAAGTTCCATGGCTGAACTATCGGTGAAGGCTTTTTAGCAGAACAAGAGACTATGATGTCACGGTGACGCCACATTCCGGTTACGTCATCATTTTCAAAATGCACTTCACTGACAACAACATTTCGTGTATATAAACTTAGTTATCACTGTACTCGAAGCTTCTTGTTATGTGCCTGAAAAGCACGGTGTGCCGAAGAGTTGCAAACTAAAGTTGGACGTCGATCCGACTCACGGACCCACAAGGGTCCACACTCACAGTATTAATTTAAAAGGATTCATGCAATATTACTCATAAATCCGAGGATGACCTTAAAATTTTGATATGCTCCTTTAAAACATCGCTAAAAATTAAAACCACGTGAAAGTCGGGCTGACGGCCCAGAATTTGCGATCGCAATCGTTTCATTGGCTCCCCCTAGCGATTATATTTATCGAGTTTTAGTAATTAATATCAAAACGTTTTGTCAGTTTATCTTTATTTTTTTTAAGTTATTTCCTTTCAATTTTTCCTGTCGCTGGAATTTTATTCTGTAAATAAATAAACGATGCAAATATGAGCGATTCTTATATAAATAATGTTGAGCCATCTGATGTAATCTTAGTGCTTTTTATGTGTCGTTCAAATTTAGGGAGTGGTAAATATTTTCGTTATTAGTAATAAAACTATTTGTAAATTATATAAATGTGTTATGTATTTAACTGATCATCTTCATATAAGTTACTTTCTGAATTTTTTTTGGGGGGTGTTCACCCCCTATTCCGACTGAACATCACAGATTTATATTGAGTGCTGTGCTGTCATATTATGGAGAAGTTAGGTATGGGGATGGATATATGGACCCAATCGCCATTTGAATGACTTCCTCCGCACAGAAATATTTGGCTGCCATATAGACAGCAAGCAGGTTGGGAATAGTGATGGATATAAAATGGCCGCCTCCGTTGAGGGCTACTGAACTGCCACAATCAAAGGGCATCCTTCTAGAGCGGGGGTTCCCACACCGCGGGCCAAATCCGTCCCGCGTAACGATTTGAAATGGCCCGCCGAGTGAAATTGTGAAACATAGTAAACTAGTGAAACACAGTAGTAAACTATTCGAATCGGTTCAGAGTAACATTTCGAATTGCCGCCATCTTTTTTTTTCCCTTCTCGCCAAAGGCCGAATTCCTCATTTTTTTTTATTGAAGCCATATTTTTTCAACGCAATTCTGACATATGACTATTTTCTGTTGTGAGTTATTGATAAAAACGTGTTTTCATTGTGTGTGAACGCTCAGCAATCTGTCTGAGTGATGTATTCTATGTTTTCAGTATTTCATTTGTTCACAGGACCAATTACAATAAAAATTGTCGCGTACAATTACATATATCCCAAGTATTCGAGATTCGATTTTGAAATCATCAGGTATTCGGAAATGCCCAGCCGTAAACAGCTAGAATAATTTAGCAAAACATTCCATAGATCCATTCTGTGTCCAAAAAAGTGGAATATATACCTGATAAAAATTATTCAAAACTCAACACGTCGCGGATGAATACCTCGAAACCGAGTAAATGAAATATACTTCCCCTAACTGTTAAACATTGACAATACCAGATCGTTGTCGCAATGTATCATTACTGGTTTCCTAAGTTGAGTTAGTATATAAGTTTATTAGTTTTCCATTATAAGTTTTCCATTATAAGTTGAGTTAGTTTGTAATGTTGAGCGTGACATTATGAGACAAATCTTAGAGCAATGATAATCCTTATTGCGCTATTCGGACACTGGTAGAAAGAAATGTAGGGAAGACAAGAGCATATCTTTGAGTTGAGCTATTCTGTTACCGTCTGGGCTTTCCGTCTACTCATGTATCAAAATAAAAAATTGAGCAATAAGAAATCAGCGAGCCGTATCCGTCCTTTATTAGATTTTGAGTATTGGATTTTAGTGCTTCGTGTTCGCTTTTTTTATATAAACAAGTGCCGCTTTATATTATACAAAGTTATCAAGTCAGACGCAGATAGTGAACGCTCATATATTTTTCATGTGACGTTTTGGTCGCTCAATACAGGCAGACACTTATCAGTAATGGATTGTTTTAGAGCAGGGGTGGGCAGCCTTTTTCGGCTCGCGTGCCAAAATCGGCTAAATTTAGCGACAAAATTCTTCCGCGTGCCGACCAATATTAAAAACAATGCTTTGCTACTGTCAGAGCAAAAAACTTTTTAAACATGTACAGACAGATCCACTATTCGGTAAAATGTCAGTCCGGCAAATAGATTTGATTACTTTCTTATTCTATATTAGTGAGACTTCTGCTGCTGGATTACCGCTGATAGACAAATAACATTGGTTTTATATAGAAATATACAAACTAATGGTTTCATCTTTTGGGATACTCCTGTTACGAGACTTAATAAAGTTCATAACTGAGAACAGAGATTCACAAGCATATGTAGATGAAAACATACATGAGTAATGCAGTTGCAAAGTTTTTAGGACACAAAACATTTTCAGCAATGGCATACCAATCACGCAATAGTTCGTTTTCTGCACTTCTCTCTGGTATTCCCTTCCCTACTCCCTTATATTTCTTTCGAAATCCATTTATAAAAGTAAGGTAGCAAGTAACTCTAACCAACATGAGCTATACTTATAAATCAGGCAGAAATGAAGAAAAAGGGTGAAATATATTACTACATTACGTAAGAAATTTCTCGGGAACTCACTCGTTTGTTACGTCATGATATATTTCTTTGTAGCCATGTGTCATTAAAAGACAAAAAGATTTGAAATAAATAACGGATTGTTAACAAACGATAATGAATAAACGAACACCGAGTTTCATCAGATAATTTAGTCTTGGAAATTTTTTATCTGAAGGAGAATGATCTTGTTTTCAAGGCCTCGCTCGCGTGCCGAATAAATAGGCTCGCGTGCCAATTTTGGCACGCGTGCCAGGGGTTGCCCACCCCTGGAAAATGTTGCCGATTTGAAAGTGTATTTGCCCAGTAATATACCTCGGGGACGCATTGTTCATGGCCGAATGTTCCACCAATACCAGTTATAGGTTGAGATTATCTTATATCAACTTCTGTCGCAATCGACATGTATGTTTCCTCCGAAAAATCTCTCGATTTCCTAAAAGTCGAAGAAACAGGGGAACCAATGAAGTGGACGAATATGTAGAAAACGAAATAAAGACTTTCTGTGATGAGTGCTGCCAGGGTCGTTCTGTCTTAGAGGGAATAAAACTATGTGAATGTGATGCTGTTTTTTCGCCTTTTTTCTAGGATGATGTATGTGTTTTAGGCTTCCTTTTATCACCGTACAGCTGTTCTCCTGTTTTATGTCTCAAGTAAATTGACCTTTACTTTTCTTCTGAGTGAGTAGCCTTTCTTTGTGCAATTGGTCTTAAAACCGCCAGTGACTGTAAATGAAATTTCGAATTGAGTGATTTTATTTTGGAGTCTTGTTGAGAGCAAAAATAATTAAGATTGATCAATGTGGTTGATATTTTGATTATAATCATACGGACAATTATTTTTATTTAACGCTTAATCACGCCTTTCGATCCAAACAAGGCCGAACCGTCGAGCATAAGTTAACTATGCTCTTTTCCAGATACTCCTGTTGTATTTGTACTTAAAATTATGGCCTAACCTTAACCTGGTACACATACTATGTTCCGGTGTCCGCCATCTTGGTTCACATACTGCGGGACTACCCTTTTCCATTCAATACATAGTTACACCTACGACCTCTGTGTACGTCATAAAAAAACCAGCGAGCCGGATCCAACTGTCTGCTGAATACAACTCTTTCATTGGTTACTGAATATGTTTTGCGTTTGCTCGCTTGTTATCTGAGTAAAGTTCCGCTTCACAAGAATAGGTGATCAAGTCAGTAGTTCTCGAACTGTGAGATTTAGGAAATTGTCTTTTGCCCAAATATTACTTCCCATTCGCGCGCTTTTGCGACATAAAATGATACTGTAGAAGAGTGGTTTTCAAACTGCGGGGTGCGCCCCAAAACGGGGTCAAAGACAATTTTTGAGGAGGCATGAAGCTAATCCAAAACAAAAATATTTGTTAGGTTGGATTTTCGTCGCCTTATTTTGAATATTTATATTTACATTCGTTTCATTTTTTACTTTCCATCCACGTATTTTTAACGTATTTTTCGACTATACCATATTTTTGTCTTAGTATCTGTTATTTGTAGCTTATAGTTAGCTTTGAGGCAGGGCGCGAGACTTGACAAATTCTTAAAAGGGGTGCGGTAAAAAGTTTGATGCTGTAGTGTAGAAGTTCGGTTGTTCAAAATAACATAACCGAAAGAGGCTGTTTCGAGTATAAATTGTAAATAGAAAAGAAAAGAGTGTTTTGCAGTCTCGCGTTTGATGTATTAAATGCCTAATGATGCAAATATACTCAAGGATATTACCTCTTCTATTTGTTCGAGCTGGGCAATTCGAATCGAATAGTAAATTATTCGAAGCTGTTCAGACGAAAATTTAGAATCGCCGCCATTTTGTTTTGGAATAAGCCATATTTTTGAAACACAATACTGACTTTTTCTTCTTAGTGAGTTATTGATGAAATTGATGGTAATAATGTTTCTTTTTGTGTATGGCCAACTCAGCGAACTGACTGAGTGACGGATTTATGTGTCAGTATTTTATGAATCTAGACGACCCATTACAAGAAAAAAGCTCTTACAATACGTCGTCTAAATAAAAAAAATTAAGCATCATCCAAGTATTCGAGATTTGAAAAAGTATTCCATTTGATTCTGAAATATTTAAGTATATATATACGAAAATGTCTAGGACTGCTATTTCTCTTACGGTTAAAATAATACGACTTTTCGTTCTTTTAACATACCCTCATTCTAAGCAAAACTCCAATGGCATGTGAAGAGGTACAATTACTAGAATAGCCTTAATTTTTCGGCTTGGCATTTTTACTAATTCACCATTCTGGATGGTTTAAATTCGAGAACATACCTGAACTCACAAAAAAAAAAACGTTCCAATTTGACACTTTAGAAGGAAAAACCAGCGCTACTCCATCTTTGCCCCCCTCCCCCCCCAAAAAAAAATGGCTGTATTATTTGATTTTGTATTAATTAAGTTGAAATAAGTTAAAATAGGGATGTACAAATTTGCCACCCGCTACTCATTCGCAATAAACCCTTTCAACGCGTAAATATCGACTACTCGCCTTCTCAAGCCGTAGAGTAATGCGTCAGCAAAATGGTTGGCGGAGAAAGTTGAAACTGATAAGCCATTACATGAACCACCCTGCGACTGCGAGTAGTCCAGCAATCCTCTTGCACATTGTCACATCACTCATAAGATTCAAACTAGAGCCGGATATACCATTAGGCTAAACCTCGGGGGCCTTGACGATTAATTTTGAACTATCAAAGTTTTAAATTGTGAAGCCTTGACACTGTGGTGTTGTTGGCATTCGTTTGGATTTCTCTATTAGCAGCAGGGTGAGTCTATTGATTTTACATGATCACTTATAATTCAGGGGGTACAACCTGCGGCCCGCGGGCCAAATGTGGCCCACAGAAAGAAATTGTGCGGCCCGCGGAAAAGGGTCAATTTCGAATGGTGTGTGGCCCGCGAAATGAGTTTTTAATTTAGTTCAATCTAGTTTGTGCAAGTATTTTCAATTCCTTTGCGTTGCAAAGCCTATTTCTGAACTTGTGCGAAGCGAATAAAGCATGTCACAGAACCAACAATTATTAAAGTTTTTGTGCCTGCAACTACTAGCAATCCTATATCAAATTAAGGTGCAGCCTGCGGTTTCACGCAGTTAAAAGGTTGCCCTCACTTATATGTTCTTTCTCGGGATACATTATATGGGGGAAGGCTTTTATTTCCGGACTTTCGCCAGACCCAGAAACTGTACAAACAACCACTGATATTTAACGATATGAAAGGAGTTACTATTTGTTTTTCATAAAGATAGAGATCTTTGGGTTGCCAGGCAGGTTGGGTATGGGGATAAATTCATTTCAGATACATGGACTTAGAGGGTGTGCACCTCTTATTATAAGAGAACCAGATATAAGTAACTGGATGAAGCCGCTGGACGCACCTTTAATTGAGATAGCCTTTTATAGTAGTTGCAGCCGCACGCAAAAATTGTTTCTTTTTGTTATTGAAATACGTTGTTACTTATCGATCTTAAGATCGGTAAGTATATTGATAGGTATTTGTCTGTATGTATGTCTGTCTGTATGTATGTCTGTCTGTATGTATGTCTGTCTGTGTGTCTGTTAGATGCACGCGATATCTCACGAAAGCGAGATTGAATCTGCTCCAGATTTTGCATGTGCATTCATCTTATCTCGGACCAGTAGCCTATTGATTTTGGGCGAATTATGTCGTATAATTAGCGAGTTATCAATCAATTATTGATATAGTGATCTAGATTTTTGTAAAGCGAGAGAATTTTGAAACCCGCCGAGTGTGTGTGTGCGATGCGCAGTGCGCAAGTTACAAGAGCGGATGAATCGAAACTGCAGTTTCTGTTTTGGGGGATCCCCTAACTATCGATCGATAAGTTTTCGGTTTCCAACCGATATTCTCGTTATAATTTTGTTGATTTTGCTAGCTAGTTTTACTATATGAACTGGTATAGACTTTGCGGCGCAAAGAGATTGGAATTGCTTGCACATACCAGAATACCTAAACTAAAAACTCGTTTCGAGGGCACACCATTCAATATTGACACGTCTCCGCGGACCGCACAATATTTCCTTGCGTGGCGCATGTTGCCCGCGGGCCGCAGTTTGCCCACCCCTGCCCTAGATGATGGACGCAAGCTCAATCATTAATCAACCAGTGGTTGGACCGACAACCGACCTGCCCTCTAGTTAAGGGTGTTCCAGTGTTCAGCAATGCCATGACAAATGTGTCTCTAACAGTATTTCTTACCTTTCCCTTTACAGGTTTTTGCATTACGTGTTCTCCAACTTCATCAGACACCATCAGGTTAGCTTTTCTTGGACGATTTTCAGATGATTCAAATATGATTTCCTCATATACACTCATGTGAGGCAGAGGAAAGTCGATAACATGGCTTAATCACCGGCCTCTTGTCCGGTTACTAGTCAATGTCGGGTATGAGATTATTTGTTTCAAATGCATGGACTTGATGGTGGAGAAAGCCGGAGAAAGTCTGTCAGTAGCAAAAGTTAGGAGGTCTGCTCAGTTTAGTGTTCTTTCCATCGCTTGTCCAGAGCCTTCGTCTTAGCGAATGTTTGAAAAAAACTTCTACGAAAGTAAATGTATGTTTTTCAGTAATAAAGAATAATTTGCCTCATTGATGAACTTTTCAGGCACCAGATACTACAAAAAGGACTCAGGACACAGATCATGAAAGTATTACTTATTTATCTGTTTGCTTGCCTATGCCTAGCTCAATACTGAGAGTGCTAATAGATATTAAAGATGATGACTCAACGTATTTTGCTTGAGCTCCTGCTGCTGGGATACTATAAGCTCTAAGTGTCATGATTCTCAAAGTTCGAAACTTTTATATCCTCCCCAGAGGAGAGGAAGGCCTATGAGGTGGCTTAACAAAATGTGAACCATGGCCACTCGTCAGGTTACCAGCCCATGTCTGTATGGGAATAGTTAACCAGTGATTCTAGATTGAATTATTAATTGATATGGCAAAATATACGATTTTGAGCAATATTCCAAAAATTTCGTGCTTTACTTTGAAGAAAATTTATGAGACACTTTTGTATTTCAAACACTATTGCTCACACCAAATTGACACATAATATAATTTTTTCGCGTTTGAAACATGCATGCAATTGCTTTTCTTGTTGTATATGAATCATGTTTTTTGAGAAAATTTGACTTTGATCAGGCGATACCGCGCAGAAATATATTAGCGAGTAACAACTAACAAGACTCTTGAATAACTCCTTTTTGCAGTCCATGATTCTAAACCAGAAGAGGAAGACGCCTCCGCAAAATTAACATCAATTCAAGTTACTCAGGAGAATACGGAAATTGTGAATAGCGATGAGAAGGTTGATGCCACTTATGATGCCTAGTGTATATGATATGCCCGTGTAGTATCTTTTACATTGAACCTCATTCGATTATTTGGTAACTTTGATTAGTGATAGAGTCGCATTTCTAAGCATCCTGAAACCTCGAACATCTTGTGATTTCAGAATCGGATCGAATAATTTTTTCGAATCGAATACTTGAAAATATATAATTGTAAGCGACTTTTTTATAGTAATTGGTCCTCTCAACAAATGAATTACTGAAGACATAGAATAAATCACTCAGATAGATTACTGAGCATTCACACAGAATAACAAACATGTTTTATCAATAACTCACTACAAAAAACAGTCGTCTGTTAGAATTTCGTTGAAAAAATATGACTCCAATGAAAAAAAAATTGGGGAATTCACCTCGACCATTAAGGGAAAGATAAAAACAAAATGGTGGCGATTCGAAATTTAGCTCTGAACCGATTCGAATAATTTATTCTTCGAATCGATTCGAATATTCGATTGGAAATGCCCAGCCCTAATTATGACTGCTGACTTTGTCGTCACTATTGAGAATGTGAAATTCTAACTCTGACTGGGAAAGTCAGAATTTAGAATTCTATGAGTTTAAATACGACTCCAATTAAATCATGCCAAACCTTCACAGCCATTCTGCACAACACAAAAAAGTTACCGTCTAAAACAATAAAATATTATCTCCTTTATTTAAGAACATTGCGGTGAACGTTCCTGGAGCTAAACTTCAAAGTCTCATTTGGGTAAGATATATTTGAATGGGGTTTCTTTATTGGTCATGTCTCTCTTCTCTCCGATATGCCATTTTTCAGTCATTTTTACATTCTGTATTACAATGTATTTTCAACATGGTAAAAAATGTGATACCGTGTGAGGAAAGACACAAGATGCTTAGTATAATTCTGGCACCTAGCGACACAAGACTAGACCTTACTGCATTGGCATCGCGGATCATACATCTCTGGTTAAGTTCAATGCCACACACCGCGCCCAGGTTGTAATAAATTGGTTAGACAATGTCGAACCAATAAGATTTCGGCCATTTCAAATAATGGTAGTTTCATACATATCGTTAGATACCAGTGGTTGCTTGTACAGGGTATTGTTCGGGGTGAAAGGCGTGAACAAGGTCATTGGTCCCCCATCCCTGACATCCATATTTTTTAGTTTCAAATCAAATTTCATTTTTTTTTATTCAGGATGATGCTGTACGGAGAAGCGATAATGAAAGGCACAGTCCTTCTTCAGCTCTGAGGGATGATATAGATGACGACAGCTCTGAGCGATTCCATGAATATGAAGTATAAGCTTTTACTGATAGAAATTGGTTAATGTTACCTAGAGCCAATCCATGAGATGCCAAGTTTGATGTTGCTTGTAATGTAATGTTGCGCTTGTGCGTAATACAGGGGTCTCCATCTCAAAATATGCGGCGCGGCGGTGTGGCTCAACGGGCTAAGCGTTAGGAATACGCTCGCCACCGCACCTCTAATTACTCTGGGTGGGTTCGCAGGTTCGAATCCCATGCAGGGATGGTTATGTGCGAGAAGGATTGCTGGACTCCTCGCTGTCGTTGGGTGGTTCACGTAACCGCTGGTCGGTTACGGCTTCCTCCACCACCAAGTCCATGCTTTCGAAAACAAACAATACAGTAAAAACTAATCCCATACCCGACTTGGAATGGTAACCGGACGAGAGGCCGTGGTTCGCCATATGGATAAGCCGTCTTATCGGCTTTCCTCTCCCCCGGGATAAATATGTAAATCCTATCCTATATGTCATGGGCCACTTTTTGAATTTCATTGATGACGTGGCCGCAAATTATCTACATAAAAAAGGTCACGGGTTGGAAACCCCCGGCCTAATACATCAGGTGCTGCGTCATCTTTAATTATTCTCTGCTGGTTCTAAGTTAGAATCCTGTGGGGAATACTTATGTCATAGGGTGAATATTAGAGTAATCGCTGGTTGGTTACAGCTTCTTCTACACCAATTCCATGTTCTGAAACAACTAACAAACATTTTCACTTTCAACAAACTGGTAACTGGATAAGAAACTTCCATCTATTGGATAAATAATAAACCCTATCTTTTTGCACTTACAGGTACCACCACCACCATATGTAGCAGAACAACCTCGTCAAGAAACACTCCCTAAGGCAGGCCTGGGCAAGTTGCAGCCCGCGGGCCACATCCGGCCCACGGCAACATTTCATCCGTCCCGTGAGCAGGTTTCTAGATTTAAACACATCCTTTTTTATTTACATATACTCCGATCAGGGTTCTGTGCCTGAATCTACTGGATATGTAAGCAGCTAAAGAAGTACCAAAATCTTTCAGTATGTCATTATATATCCAATTTGTTACACTCAAGGGTGAGGGTTTTGGCTCGGTTTGAAACCTAGATTATTAACCTGGGTCACAATCATAGTGGTTTCCAATGATCCTACCCATCCCACCAACTGAATTTTCTGACCTTTTCAAAAATATATGTGTGTCATGCTTTAAGGGAGGATTTTGGGTTTATTTTAGATGTTTTGGGTTTACATTTTGTGTACTTGATTTAGGCTGAAGATCTCCCTATGAGACGTCGAACACCACCATCTTCCGATGACGAAAACAAACCTCATGACCCGCCACCTTCGATAGCAGACACTGAAATAGAACGGGATTGTAAGTACCAACCATCCTTTTTTTAAAACCCAATGCAGTAGTGTATGGGGATAGGTTGTTTGGCATTTTTGACGGTATTGGAATTGTATCTGAAGTTAGTGTTTATATTTGAACTTCTAGGAGTTTGGTGTCAGAGTCTGAATTTTGTTTTGGTCAAAATAACTAAAACTATAGAATGGTTCCAAACATCAAAGTTTTTGTAGTTAAAAATAAAACTCAAGAGTTGAGAGCTGGAGCTGAATACTCAAAAATACAAAGCTCCATGTGAGTGACTACTTGTCTATAGCCTTGTGTAGAGAGTTATTTTGTATTTGCAAATAAGATAAACCATTGGTTACACACAATTATTGCAATGTTAGTCTGTCTGTCCCTTATCTGACTGGTACACCATCGCATAACGAGGGATAGATAATTTTACCCACAAAGTGATTAAGATTCCACTGTTATTATGCGTTCATACTACATTGAAAATGATAAAAATGTGATGCAGTTGTTTAAAATGAAAATATTAAGAACCTTGTCCATGTTTTCAGTCATTGTACTCTGTTGTATAAATCATTTTTTGTGCAAAAAGTTGTTTCCAAAGTTGTGAAATTTGAACTGTTGCAGCTATGGTGTTGGTAGTAAGGGCCTTGGTATTTCGAACTTTGAGTTGAGTTTTCCTTACCTTTGAGTGATTAATTATTTCTTCAAATATTTTCATTTTATTATACTTTGAAATGATTGTTTGTCTTTTTAGTTTCATTTCCCAGTTCTTCTGTCATGGGTGAAGAAACAACGCCGAAAAAAGAAAAGCCAGTAAGTTCTTTTAATAATTCAATTTTGTGGATACATGATTTATCCAAAGCAATATATCTATCGTGCATCAGGGCACATTGTACTTTTAACAATGTTGCAATCTGCTATGTGTGATGGCATTTAGTTTAGGGTTGCCATACCGTCCGGAAAATTCCGGACATGTCCGGAATTTAGGGTTAACTTTTGCGTCCGGAAAGAACTTTAAAAAATGACTCGGTTTGAAACCTAGATTATTAACCTGGGTCACAATCATAGTGGTTACCAATGATCCTACCCATCCCACCAACTGAATTTTCTGACCTTTTCAAAATTATATGTGTGTCATGCTTTAAAGGAGGATTTTGGGTTTATTTTAGATGTTTTGGGTTTACATTTTGTGTACTTGATTTAGGCTGAAGATCTCCCTATGAGACGTCGAACACCACCATCTTCCGAAGACGAAAACAAACCTCATGACCCGCCACCTTCGAAAGCAGACTCTGGAATAGAACGGGATTGTAAGTACCAACCATTCTTTTTTTAAAACCCAATGCAGCAGTGTATGGGGATAGGTTGTTTGGCATTTTTGACGGTATTGGAATTGTAGCTGAAGTTAGTGTTTATATTTGAACTTGTAGGAGTTTGGTGTCAGAGTCTGAATTTTGTTATGGTCAAAATAACTAAAACTATAGAATGGTTCCAAACATCAAAATTTTTGTAGGTAAAAATAAAACTCAAGAGTCGAGAGCTGGAGCTGAATACTCAAAAATACAAAGCTCCATGTGAGTGACTACTTGTCTATAGCCTTGTGTAGAGAGTTATTTTGTATTTGCAAATAAGATAAACCATCGGTTACACACAATTATTGCAATGTCTGTTGGGTCCCTTATCTGACTAATCCATTTTTTGTGCAAAAAGTTGTTTCCAAAGTTGTGAAATTTGGACTGTTGCAGCTATGGTGTTGGTAGTAAGGTCCCTTGTATTTCAAACTTTGAGTTGAGTTTTTCTTACCTTTGAATGATTCATTATTTATTCATTTACCGTAAATATTTTCATTTTATCATTTATTCGTAATGATTGTTTATCGTTTTAGTTTCAGTTTGCAGTTCTTCTATCGTGGAAACAATGCAGGAAAGCGAAAAGCCGGTAAGTTCTTGTATTTTTTAAATATTTAGCACTTATTGGGATATTCCTGTAGTGTGTGTACCAGGTTAGGGCATAATTTTATTCCCATTTTCCTTATTTTAGTTCCACTACGAGTTCGGGGACTGTCTGTGTTAGCCAAGTGAATATACCACCATAGGTTTTGTTCCTTCACACAACTTGATGTAAAATAGGCGAACAAAATTAGTTACCTCCATATTGGTTTTTGGTACACACACTTCGGGAGCGCCCTTTTTGGTTTATTATTTATCATTCCTTGAGCTATTTCATATTCAGTCTTCCATTTTCTAGCATATTTAATAATTTTTCCAGAATGAGCAAAACAGGTATGTCAGCTTATAAGTCAGATTGTGAGTTATAAGTTAAATATGACTCCAATGAAAAAAAAATTGGGGAATTCACCTTGACCATTAGCGGAAAGATAAAAACAAGATGGTGGCGATTCGAAATTTAGCTCTGAACCGATTCGAATAATTTATTCTTCGAATCGATTCGAATATTCGATTCGAAATGCCCAGCCCTAATTATGACTGCTGACTTTGTCGTCACATTTGAGAACGTGAAATTCCAACTCTGACTGGGAAAGTCAGAATTTAGACTTCCATGAGTTTAAAATATGACTCCAATTAAATCATGCCAAACCTTCACAGCCATTCTGCACGACACAAAAAAGTTACCGTCTGAAACACTAAAATATTATCTCCTTTATTTAAGAACATTGCGGTGAACGTTTCTGGAGCTAAACTTCAAAGTCTCATTAGGGTAAGGTATATTTGAATGGGGTTTCTTTATGGGTCATGTCTCTCTTCTCTCCGATATGCCATTTTCATTCGTTTTTACATTCTGTATTACAATGTATTTTCAACGTGGTAAAAAATGTGATACCGTGGGAGGAAAGACACAAGATGCTTAATATAATTCTTGCACCTAGCAACACAAGACTAGACCTTACTGCATTGGCATCGCGGATCATACATCTCGGGTTAAGTTCAATGCCACACACCGCGCCCAGGGTGTAATGAATTGGTTAGACAATGCCGAACCAATAAGATTTCGGCCATTTCAAATAATGGTAGTTTCATACATATCGTTAGATACCAGTGGTTGCTTGTACAGGGTATTGTTCGGGGTGAAAGGCGTGAACAAGGTCATTGGTCCCCCATCCCTGACATCCAAATTTTTTAGTTTCAAATCAAATTTCATTTTTTTTTGTCCAGGATGATGCTGTACGGAGAAGCGATAATGAAAGGCACAGTCCTTCTTCAGCTCTGAGGGATGATATTGATGACGACAGCTCTGAGCGATTCCATGAATATGAAGTATAAGCTTTTACTGATAGAAATTGGTTAATGTTACCTAGAGCCAATCCATGAGATGCCAAGTTTGATGTTGCTTGTAATGTAATGTTGCGCTTGTGCGTAATACAGGGGTCTCCATCTCAAAATATGCGGCGCGGCGGTGTGGCTCAACGGGCTGAGCGTTAGGAATACGCTCGCCACCGCTCCTCTAATTACTCTGCGTGGGTTCGCAGGTTCGAATCCCATGCAGGGATGGTTATGTGCGAGAGGATTGCTGGACTCCTCGCCGTCGTTGGGTGGTTCACGTAACCGCTGGTCGGTTACCGCTTCCTCCACCACCAAGTCCATGCTTTCGAAAACAAACAATACAGTAAAAACTAATCCCATACCCGACTTGGAATGGTAACCGGACGAGAGGCCGTGGTTCGCCATATGGATAAGCCGTCTTATCGGCTTTCCTCTCCCCCGGGATAAATATGTAAATCCTATCCTATATGTCATGGGCCACTTTTTGAATTTCATTGATGACGTGGCCGCAAATTATCTACAAAAAAAAGGTCACGGGTTGGAGAACCCCGGCCTAATACATCAGGTGCTGCGTCATCTTTAATTATTCTCTGCTGGTTCGAAGTTAGAATCCTGTTGGGAATACTTATGTCATAGGGTGAATATTAGAGTAATCGCTGGTTGGTTACAGCTTCTTCTACACCAATTCCATGTTCTGAAACAACTAACAAACATTTTCACTTTCAACAAACTGATAACTGGATAAGAAACTTCCATCTATTGGATAAATAATAAACCCTATCTTTTTGCACTTTCTTACAGGGACCACCACCACCATATGTAGCAGAACAACCTCGTCAAGAAACACTCCCTAAGGCAGGCCTGGGCAAGTTGCAGCCCGCGGGCCACATCCGGCCCACGGCAACATTTCATCCGTCCTGCGAGCAGGTTTCTAGATTTAAACACATCCTTTTTTATTTACATATACTCCGATCAGGGTTCTGTGCCTGAATCTACTGGATATGTAAGCAGCTAAAGAAGTACCAAAATCTTTCAGTTCGTCATTATCTATCCAATTTGTTACACTCAGGGTGATGTGGTGTGCTTGATTTGAAACCCAGATTATTAACCTTAACAAACATATTATTAACAAACATAGTGGTTTCCAATGGTCCTACCCTTCCCACCAACTGAATTTTTTCAAAACTTTTTTCAAATATACATGTGTCTTGCATTAAAGGAGGATTTTGTGTATGATGACGAAAACCAACCACATGACCCGCCACCTTCGATAGCAGACACTGAAATAGAACAGGATTGTAAGTACCAAGCATCCTTTTTTTAAAACCCAATGCAGTAGTGTATGGGGATAGGTTGTTTGGCATTTATGACGGTATTGGAATTGTAGCTGAAGTTAGTGTTTATATTTGAACTTGTAGGAGTTTGGTGTCAGAGTCTGAATTTTGTTTTGGGCGAAATAACCAAAACTATAGAATGGTTCCAAACATTAAAATTTTTGTAGTTAAAAATAAAACTCAAGAGTTGAGAGCTGGAGCTGAATACTCAAAAATACAAAAGCTCCATGTGAGTGACTACTTGTCTATAGCCTTGTGTAGAGAGTTATTTTGTATTTGCAAATAAGATAAACCAGTGGTTACACACAAATATTGCAATGTATGGTGGGTCCTTCATCTGACTGGTACACCATCGCATAACGAGGGATAGATAATTTTACCCACAAAGTGATTAAGATTCCACTGTTTTTATGTATTCATATCATATTAAAAATGTGATGCAGTGGAATAAAATGAAAATTTTAAGAACCTTGTCCATGTTTTCAGTCATCGTACTCTGTTGTATAATCCATTTTTTGTGCAAAAAGTTGTTTCCAAAGTTGTGAAATTTGAACTGTTGCAGCTATGGTGTTGGTAGTAAGGGCCTTGGTATTTAAAACTTTGAGTTGAGTTATCCTTACCTTTGAGTGATTCAATATTTCTTCATTTGAATATTTTCATTTTATCAAACATTCAAAATGATTGTTTATCTTTTTAAATTCAGTTCGCAGTTCTTCTGTCATGAGTAAGAAGATAATGATAACAGTATACCAGGTAAGTTCTTTTATTTGTTTAATTTTGTGGATAGATGAGTAGATAGATGATTTATCCAAAGCAATAATATCTATCATGCAACAGGGCACATTGTATATTTAACAATGTTGCAATCTGCTATGTGTGATGACATTAGGTTATGTAATATTTCGTAAATTTATCCCGAAATGCGAGTTAATTTAACAATTGTTGGAGATTCCTGATTTAATCTATGCAAAAAAATCATCCCATGCTCTCATCCCAAGGCAGCCGCCAGGAAACCTTATCTTCAAAAAGATTTTCATATTTATCCTGAAGGAATAGAAAGGCACTAGGAGGACTTATCAATATGCTGAACCTCGACTCGACCTCAAAGTCATATTTGAACAGCGAGACAGATTAAATTCTACAGATTGTAATATCCTGCTCTGAACTTTGGGATCCCGGAGAGTTTTAGTGTTATGTATATTCTAATACTTTGCCTTCGATCAGGGTTCTGTGCCTGAATCTACTAGATATGTAAGCAGCTAAAGAAGTACCAAAATCTTTCAGTTCGTCATTATATATCCAATTTGTTGCACTCAAGGGTGAGGGTTTTGGCTCGGTTTGAAACCTAGATTATTAACCTGGGTCACAATCATAGTGGTTTCCAATGATCCTACCCATCCCACCAACTGAATTTTCTAAACTTTTTAAAAATATATGTGTGTCATGCTTTAAAGGAGGATTTTGGGTTTATTTTAGATGTTTTGGGTTTACATTTTGTGTACTTGATTTAGGCTGAAGATCTCCCTATGAGACGTCGAACACCACCATCTTCCGAAGACGAAAACAAACCTCATGACCCGCCACCTTCGATAGCAGACTCTGGAATAGAACGGGATTGTAAGTACCAAGCATTCTTTTTTTAAAACCCAATGCAGTAGTGTATGGGGATAGGTTGTTTGGCATTTATGACGGTATTGGAATTGTACCTGAAGTTAGTGTTTATATTTGAACCTCTAGGAGTTTGGTGTCAGAGTCTGAATTTTGTTATGGTCGAAATAACCAAAACTATAGAATGGTTCCAAACATCAAAATTTTTGTTGTTAAAAATAAAACTCAAGAATCGAGAGCTGGAGCTGAATACTCAAAAATACAAAAGCTCCATGTGAGTGACTACTTGTCTATAGCCTTGTGTAGAGAGTTATTTTGTATTTGCAAATAAGATAAACCAGTGGTTACACACAATTATTGCAATGTCTGTTGGGTCCCTTATCTGACTGGTACACCATAGCGAGGGATAGATAATTTTACCCACAAAGTGATTAAGATTCCACTGTTTTTATGTATTCATATCATATTTAAAATGTGATGCAGTTGTATAAAATGAAAATTTTAAGAACCTTGTCCATGTTTTCAGTCATTATAGTCTGTTGTATAATCCATTTTTTGTGCAAAAAGTTGTTTCCAAAGTTGTGGAATTTGAACTGTTGCAGCTATGGTGTTGGTAGTAAGGGCCTTGGTATTTCGAACTTTGAGTTTAGTTTTTCTTACCTTTGAATGATTCATTATTTATTCATTTACCGTAAATATTTTCATTTTATCATTTATTCTTAATGATTGTTTATCGTTTTAGTTTCAGTTTGCAGTTCTTCTGTCATGGGTGAAGAAACAACGCCGAAAAAAGAAAAGCCAGTAAGTTCTTTTATTAATTCAATTTTGTGGATACATGATTTATCCAAAGCAATAATATCTATCGTGCATCAGGGCACATTGTACTTTTAACAATGTTGCAATCTGCTATGTGTGATGGCATTTAGTTTAGGGTTGCCACACCGTCCGGAAAATCCCGGACATGTCCGGAATTTAGGGTTAACTTTTGCGTCCGGAAAGAATTTTAAAAAATGACTTGGTTTGAAACCTAGATTATTAACCTGGGTCACAATCATAGTGGTTTCCAATGGTCCTACCCATCCCACCAACTGAATTTTCTAAACTTTTTAAAAATATGTGTGTCATGCTTTAAAGGAGGATTTTGGGTTTACATAAAAATGTTTTGGGTTTACATTTTGTGTACTTGATTTAGACTGAAGATCTCCTTATGAGACGTCGAACACCACCATCTTCCGATGACGAAAACAAACCTCATGACCCGCCACCTTCGATAGCAGACTCTGGAATAGAACGGGATTGTAAGTACCAAGCATTCTTTTTTTAAAACCCAATGCAGTAGTGTATGGGGATAGGTTGTTTGGCATTTTTGACGGTATTGGAATTGTAGCTGAAGTTAGTGTTTATATTTGAACTTCTAGGAGTTTGGTGTCAGAGTCTGAATTTTGTTATGGTCGAAATAACCAAAACTATAGAATGGTTCCAAACATCAAAATTTTTGTAATTCTTGTGATAAAACTCAAGAGTCGAGAGCTGGAGCTGAATACTCAAAAATACAAAGCTCCATGTGAGTGACTACTTGTCTATAGCCTTGTGTAGAGAGTTATTTTGTATTTGCAAATAAGATAAACCAGTGGTTACACACAATTATTGCAATGTCTGTTGGGTCCCTTATCTGACTGGTACACCATCGCATAGCGAGGGATAGATAATTTTACCGACAAAGTGATTAAGATTCCACTGTTTTTATGTATTCATATCATATTTAAAATGTGATGCAGTTGTATAAAATGAAAATTTTAAGAACCTTGTCCATGTTTTCAGTCATTGCACTCTGTTGTATAATCCATTTTTTGTGCAAAAAGTTGTTTCCAAAGTCGTGAAATTTGAACTGTTGCAACTATGGTGTTGGTAGTAAGGTCCCTTGTATATAAAACTTTGAGTTGAGTTTTTCTTACCTTTGAATGATTCATTATTTATTCATTTACCGTAAATATTTTCATTTTATCATTTATTCGTAATGATTGTTTATCGTTTTAGTTTCAGTTTGCAGTTCTTCTATCGTGGGTGAAGAAACAATGCAGGAAAGCGAAAAGCCGGTAAGTTCTTGTATTTTTTAAATATTTAGCACTTATTGGGATATTCCTGTAGTGTGTGTACCAGGTTAGGGCATAATTTTATTCCCATTTTCCTTATTTTAGTTCCATTACGAGTTCGGGGACTGTTTGTGTTAGCCAAGTGAATATACCACCATAGGTTTCAGTTCCTTCACACAACTTGATGTAAAATAGGCGAACAAAATTAGTTACCTCCATATTGGTTTTTGATACACACACTTCGGGAGCGCCCTTTTTGGTTTATTATTTATCATTCCTTGAGCTCTTTCATATTCAGTCTTCCATTTTCTAGCATATTTAATAGTTATTCCAGAATGAGCAAAACAGGTATGTCAGCTTATAAGTCAGATTGTGAGCAACAGCCTCCCATATGGTTAACATTTTAGATGGGACATGGCAATAGATTCAGATAATTTATTTTCGTCAAGCATGAAATATTGTAACACAAACAATACTAAATCAAGGCAAAAGAAAACAGATACACAATGTTTCAACTGCAATCAACGAGGAGTCGCGAAAGACTGTAAAGTCATCGTGTCAGCGACACCATAAATGCTGAGTTCAGCAGCAGTTGACGTCAAAAACGTCAAATAATTTAGCTAGATTTAAATACGTACAGAGGAAAATTTGGAAACATAAATCGAAACGAGAGAGTAAGTATAAAGAGAAATGTTTAAATTTAAAATTATGAATGGACTCGAGAGAGTTGGGAGAGAAATGTTCAAATGGGAGAAAAAGGAATATCCATCGTGTCGAGCAAAGTGATTTATTGTCACATTGGTGTCGGGTAAGTCAAAAAGACGCGTTTACGGCGATTCAACATGTCAGTTTTGTCTCACAGCGTCATGCGCGGGTGAACACAGTAGCAAAAATAAAACTGCAGTCAAGCACGACGCCGCAAAGCCATGGTAATAGGTCCAACTTAATTGCCCAAGATGCACTGGCTGTTGGGGTAACAAGTTGGGAAATCAATGCAGGGAAATCAACAATACTAGGCTGAAAATTTTTTTTACAGTCAACATGATGTGCCTACTGTTGGATTTATTGAAACAAGCTATATACGTGACCCAACAATATCTTATTCTTGTTAATTTCAGACTACCATTCCGTCATTCTTGCCCAGACAACGTGATGAATTTATAGACAATTCGTTCAATCCATTTTCCTTTACTGTCGGTCGTAATGGATGCGTTGTGAAGACTCCATATGCTGAAATTATATTTCCTTGCGATGCGGTCGATGAAAAGATAGAAATAACAGTCCGACCTGACTATTACAGATTGAAAGAAAAGGTAAATTACAAAGTCAACAATTTTTCAGAAGGAAAAGGAATATTTGACTTTGAATTAATTCTACGCCCATTCTCAGTGATAAGAGTTGAATTTTATGAGACTGTAATCCATAGGATGAGCCCTTAACAAATAGGAGCTTATAAATCTAAGGGCTGGAAAGGAAGGTGAGAGAGGGACAGCAAATCTTACCTTAAAATAGGTAACTCGATAATTGCTTTTGATCCATGAATATACAGTAGTTGATTCTAGAAGTCAGCTTGTGGTTACTTTTTACAGAAGCTCCATCGCAGTATATTTTTCCATTGTTAATTATAATGATAGGACTTACATATTTATCCCGGAGAAAGAAAAACCGATAAGACGGCTTAATCATATGACGAACCACGGCTTCTCGTCTGGTTAGCATTTCATATCAGGTATGGAATTAGTTAGTTTTTGTTTTCGGAAGCATGGACTTGATGATGGGGGAAGAGGTAACAGACCAGCGGTTACGTGAACCACCCTACGCCGGCGAGGAGTCCAGCAATCCTCTCGCACATACCCATCCCTGCATGGGATTCGAACCTGCGAACCCACACAGAGTAAATATGTAATTCTTATATCAAATGCATGGGATTCGAACCTGAGATGACAACATAGTTATGTCTACGTTTCAACCACTAAGGCATCACACCGCTCTCGAAATTGGCATTTGTCTCTCAACACTAGGTGCTTGTAATCCCACAATTAGAAATATTTTACGCCCAACATAATTTTTGTTTTTTATGTTTCTATCTAACAGCTGATTGATGATTCTCGCATATACGTTTCACCAGAAATATTTTTTGAATCAAAGGACGAGATGACGTTTAAGAATGAAGTGACAATATACCTGGAAGTCATGTACTCTGCAATTGATCCTGACGATCCACTTATTCTTAATGTAAGTCCTCAATGTATATCATTGTATATCCATGTTTATTGCTGTTTAACAAGTAAGATTGTTTAGGAGATGAGAAACATTCTAAATATTTCTTTTTTTTCTTAGCTATTGTGGTAAAAAGCTATTTAGACTGTTCTTTCAGATTGAAATTTCAACTTCTGATTGTCACATCTCACATGCATTTTTTTAGTATTTTTCTCATATTATAATAATAACATGGACTCCTTTTCAGGTTGAGAGGATTGACGATGGTGTTGTGGAGAAATATTTGAAGTTGGAGCATGGACAAGGTACAAAAGCTGAATTCAAAGTTAATACCTTCTGTGGGTAAGCATTACTGTATTCAGAAAAAAATGTAGGATTTCCGTATTTATTCTGGGCAAGGAAATATTGCTCAATCATGTGGTGTACCATGGCATCTGATCCAATAAATCTGGATTCTATAAGGGTAAATTCTATTGTGTAAAGCAGTGGTCGGCAACCTTTTCCAAGTGACGGACCGGTAAAGCCTGACCAAATTTTGGCGGACCACCTTCACACAAACGGACTAAGCCTATGCAATAAATTATACGCATTAGGAAATTTATGTTGACAATATACTAAAAAACAAAAGTGATGCTAATAAGTACGATATCTGTATTTGTCTGCTGGTCATTAACTGTTACCATATTGGAGATATGGTCGACATTGACACACGTAACGTGTTTCTTACATCCGGACTGCTTCAATATTTCATTTGTAGTTATCAGTATTAAAAACCAGGCCTCACATTAAGAAGATTGCGGGAAAGGGAACAATGCCTGTAAACCTTCTGACTCTGGTCTGGGTATTGATTGATGTTTGTTTTGCCAAAACGATTTTTTTTTACCCGATGTGCTAACTTTATGATTATCCGGAATCTGAAGTGTAGAATTAGCGCTGACTAGGCATGACCGGTTAGCTACGAGCCAGTAGTGAAGTAGTCACGTTCTTAGCGAGAATCATTTTGTTGGAGATATCTCTTATACGGACTGATGAGAGACATTCTTATACGGCATAGTGGAAACAAATGACCCATCATTATTGCGACACACTGACATGTCAATTTTTTGTGAAGTCAGACATGCTGCTCAAATGCGTTGTGTTTGTTTGGTTTGCTGTTGGGTGCTGTTTTAGTCGTAGGGTTTGTGGTTAGATTGTAGAGGTTTTTTTACAGCCTTGTCCGTTTTTGTGTCACCTCTCTGCGGACCGGCAGTAACCTTTCCGCGGACCGGCGATGGGCCGCGGCCCGGTGGTTGCCGGCCACTGGTGTAAAGCGTCTTAGATTACTGAAACGTTTGAGTACAATCATACACAAACAGAAGTTCAAGTGTTAAATAAATTTTCTTCATATTTTTAGAAGTAATTTTAGTTTTAATTTTATCTAAGGGTAAGAATTTATGGGTTCTGTGCAGTGGTGGAATTTTTTGTCAGCCGGTTCCATCACACAAATGTCATATTTTCAGGCAGTTCTGTTACAAAAAGTCATGTAATGCTAACCGGTTCGCTGATCTTATGAAATTCCGTGAGACGGTTCTATAGAACCGGCTGAATCCCACTACTGGTTCTGTGTATTTGGGCCATCCTATGTTTTCATATGATAGCCATTGTTGTGTTACTTACCGGTAATTGCTATTTGCTCAGAATAGAAACTCGTATACAATTGAACTCCGTTTATTGAGAACAGCGGCACAACTTAAACAATACAACAAAACAGCGATCATAAACGTCTACAAGTTAACACGACGATATGTGTTGACTGGTGAGCCAGACGGATATATGGTATGCATTGTGCCGCAACAATTAAGAGTTGTCGCGCTACTCATCATTTGAGTCATCACACAACACTATAGCAGTTACTTTATTTTTACAAATATTTTATAATTCTTTTACTAGGTTCTGCATCTCTGCTCTGAAATCTGAGTATCCAAAAGCCAAACGGCATTTTTACTCAATTATTTGTCTTCGTCAGCCTCCTAAAGAAACTCCAACGCATCATCATGTCCACTGGTATATATTTGATCATTGTGAGATTGAACATCGTAGCAAAACTGAGGCGATAAAAAAATTGGGTTTTTACACTCTGGGACTGCCTGAAAGTTTTGCTGTCAAGTAAGTTCTGTATGTTTTTTTATTTTTTTAATATTTCATGGATGTTGTCACATCTTTGATTTTGAACAAGACCTTGCAAAATATATGCAATCATACTATGAAGTTATCGGTTTCGAAAGGACAAGCGTTTTGATAAGCCATGGTTCATCTCACATCTGACGTCGAATAATTGACAGTCAGGGTCTAATCTTTAGCTTGCTAGACTAAGGCAGAAGGTGTTGATAGTAATATATATTGGCAGTTGGCATATCATGCTAAGTATTGAAATCACACTCGTCATCGCACCTCTGATTACCATCATGAGTTTGCAAGTTCGAATCCTGTGGCTGATTTTTATGTGCAAGAAGATCGCTACACTCCTCGCTACTGCAGGGTGGTTAGTGTGGGTGCCGGTCGGTGTCGGCTTCATCCTTCATCAAGTCCATACATAAAAAAAAAAACTGGTCAACCACTCGACATGGAGTAGACTAACAATTTTCCCACCTATAATCATCTTCCACAGGATTCAAACCTGTGATGTCAAATGCGATCCTAACACCGAGCAGAATGCCTAAAATTTAATATCCAATACATTTTTATATTCAAGGTACGGCAGAAATATTCGGCTGCGGTTCCAGTCGAATCGAAAAGTTCGAATTGCAAGCAGAAAAGTCGAACTGGTGCAATTTTGGGGTGACCCATTGAGCAGAGATGAAAAATTCACCATTGATGGCAATAAGATAGATCTTTCAGGGGGTGAAGATGATGAAGAGCCGGTGATAAAGTATACTATAACTGAGATAGATGCATCGAATGAAGAAACATCCGTTGTACTGGATAACTCTGTACCATTTAGTTGGCTGGTCCCTGCTTACAAAACAGAGTTTGTGATGAAGGGTGATAACAGTGTTGGTGTTCAAAACACATACTATGAACATACTAGAATGGAAATACCAGCAAAGCAAACACCGCACAGTGGCCAAGTAGCACAAAATCCAAACGAAGGAAACGCTGTGGATGCAGTTTATCAAGGGCAGTCTTGTGACATACAGGAACGAAGATTCAACCAATGTCCGGCTGGTGGAGCCATAGGTGGTCACAACCCTGATGATCACCGAAGAAATGCACGTATAAATTACGGAAGCATGCCTTCGCAAAGGTATAACCCCACATCTCAAGGTCAATTAACCTCAGATGATAGGGCCCACTCAAGTCAAGGCCAGAATGTGGTCGGTTATAACTCAACAGAGACTGTTGATTATAAAAATAATGAAGAGCATCTGCACAGCAATCAGCATCAACTACCAGGAAATCGGTCCAAAGATTTTGAGAATGAACAGCAAATGGGGGAATCAAGTGGTCAGAGAATCCCAAAGCTTAGCGATTCAAAAAGTAGTGGAGGGTCTAGAAAAAAAGAGAAAGGAAAAAAGGGTTGGAAAAGGTATTTACAGAAGAAGTAAAAAAACTATTTCATGTCTACAAGAAAGTTTCCAGTCTTCAATAAACGAATAGATTTTATATATACGGTATATAAATACTGATGGGATCTCAATTCATAAACGACTTTGGGCTTTCCTGGATGAAGTTCAGATGTTTGTCACTTTACCATTTTCATTATTTTGCCATTCAAAAGTTCTGAGCAATGATGATAATATTTGTATATATTTGATTTGTCCTTTAATAGTTAAAAATATTGTCAAGAATTAAACTTTCTGACGCCCTTGAAGAGCCCAACACAATGGCATTCTCCCAGAAATGTTGTGAGCCTTGAAATATAATGATTTGTGTAATTACTTACACTTAGCAATTGGGGTGTATATAATTACACAAAACTGTAATATTTCTTTGAATAGGATCTCCATGTTTACCAATGTGGCTGTAGTTATCGACTGGCAAAATTTATTTTACTGGTCATGATTGGATGTAACTGCAACGCTTGATTACCTTAACTTAACCATATTTAGACTAACCAGATTAGTCTAACGCTTGATTACCTTAACTTAGCCATATTTTTATGTTGAAGGGTCCTGCAATTCTCCTACATATTATCGTGGGGTGGATACATAATGATTAGCAAATTGATAGGCAATCTTATTTCCAAGTAATTTTAAGCTAGTTGGACAGACACGAAGAGAACCTATGGATCGTTTTGTGGTTCATGTTGCTGTAAAAAAAATCGCTTCTCTTCAACTGCTGGACCAATAGCTTTGAAATTTTCAGTGGCTAAAGATTACTGTTGTCGCTAGAATATCTATTATTGCGTTTAAAAAAAACTTGTGGGCCTTTTGTGGGATTATGTGTGAAAACATCATCAAAATTGCGCACTGTGGAAGTTCGCATTCTTTGCTATCTGGTGATCAGCCGAAATTGGAAAGTCTGTATTTGCCGTAAAAGATTAGATACCCTACCAATTCGTTTTGATCTTTGTGTCCATATATTTTAGCATTGCTCTCTTTTTTGAACTTTTATTATTTACCCGTATCTTTGAATCTATAAATATAAATGAGCTACATTAATCTGTGCAGATTTTAAATTTTTTCAGAATATAATTTTTAAAATTTGAAAGATTGTTTTTTCCTAGTGAGTTAAATGATTTTATATTGTAAAAGACTACGAGTAGTTTGATTATAAACTGAAAACTAATTTCTAAAATCACTGTAGTCCCAACATACTATGCATGCCCAAAATGCTGTTGGTGGTAATGTATCAAAGGCAAAAGTTATCTAGTCAAGTCACGTTTATTTCGTCAAACCAGAAAAAATATGACACAAGCCCAAAATTATGAAAAAACGAGATACTCCCGTAGTATGTGTACTAGGTTAATTTTATTCCGGTTTTCCTTATTTTAGTTCTATTAAGAGTTCGAGTCCTGTCTGTGTTAGCCAAGTAAATATCCCCCCTGCCCAACAACTTGATGTAAAGTAGGCGAAAAAAATTAATTACCTTCATATTGGTACACATAATTCTGCGGCGCCGAAAACGATAATTACAGTTTTACTGGAAAAGGAAAGTCGCGAGTAACCAAAGCTATATTTTTAGTATTCTGGGCCATCTTGGGAAACCTTGATGAAGGAGTTTCTACAGCCAGATTTCTGTTAACCACTCACACATTTGCATTGGAATTTCAATGTTTTTTAGGAATTTCCTTTTCATGATTTGATGTAGGGTAGTATAATACCGGTATAGAGTTTCGCGAGTTGAATAGTCCATATCGGTTATGGGATTATTTGTTTCAGATGCATGGACTTGGTGGTGGAGGAAGCATTACGGTACCGTAACCACCCTATGATAGAGGGAGGAGCCCAGGAATCCACTCGTCCATAATTATCCACACAGCATTTCTTCAACTTGTGAAAGTGTCCAGGAAGCTTGTTATGGTATGTATACGCTTCAGCGCAGGGTAATGTAATCAGTGGGGCATACGGGCATGGTAAGTTATTGCCAGTCTTGTCACTTGATGCAAATGTATTTGATAGCAAGCTACAGTTTCTTTAATTTATTTGGTTCATATAGCAATACCCTATCTGTCCATGAAAAAATTGATTCTTCATTTCAATTTCTTCGCGTAAGATATACTGTGGTGCAGGGCCCACAGAAGAGTTTTGGGTGGCCCACATATTTTTCAAAATTAAATAAACTAAACTTAATCTGCTATCTCCCACAAATTTGAGCCACAATTGTCACCTTTCATAAAAAAATATAGGAATTATTATTGAAAAATTGTACCTCGTCGTTCAAACGGGTGTTCGACTAAATGGAGATTTTCGAGACATCGCTTTCAATTTACTTCAGCTGTTGTGAGCACTGATATGGACAAAGTGACTATATAGTTAGGATAGGATTTATATATTTATCCAGGAAGGCAGAAAATCCGATGACACGGATTAACTATATGGCGAACCACGGCCTCTGGTCCGGAGTGGAAGTGGTGACTCCTCTACGGCCCATGGGCCGTGGCCCATCAAGTTGTGTGAAGGGACTAGACAATTTTGTAAAATTTGAAAATTTCGGTAAGATACCGGTAATTGAATTTTTCCTGATGGGGCCCAATAAGATGGGGGAGGGGGAAGGAGTGCATAGCTATCTTCGCATGGGAGTCGAACCCACACAGAGTAATCATAGGTGCGGTAGCGAGCGTATTCCTTTGGCGCCGCGGTGTGGCTCATCGTGCTAAGCACTAGGAATATGCTCGCCACCGCACCTCTAATTACTCTGCGTGGGTTCGAATCCCATGCAGGATGGTTATGTGCAGGGAGATTGCTGGACTCTTCGCCGCCGTAGGGTGGTCCATGTAACCGCTGGTCGGTTACGGCTTTCTCCACCGTCAAGCTCATGCTTCCGAAAAACAAGTAACTAACTAATCCCATACCCGACGTGGAATCGTACCGGTAACCGGACGTGAGGCCGTGGTTCGCCATATGAACTTTCCTCCCCCCCCCCCCCAAGAGAAAAATAGGTAAATGCTATCCTATCTAACGCTTAGCGATGAGCTGAGCCTAGCTATAGTCACTATAGCCTAGAATCTAGATAGTTATATTCACTTTGGATATGGACGATTTATATATTTCAGCCTGTTGTGTTCAACACGTGAATTTTATATAGGGCAAGGTGTGTTTTCAAATCTTGCGCTGTGGTCGACATCGATGGACCGCGTGATTTGCTCAACAAAAATGAAATTTAGTAACTGCGTAAAAAAGCGTGTATATTGTGTTGAGATATTCGGAATAGCTATGAGCAATACAAGTGTTTGATTCAGCGACGCGTAAATTCCAACGTGAAACAGAACTGGTACGATACCAGTATACTGGTATATATATTAAGTTGGTGGGCCCAATGAGCATATATACAATGAGTGGAAACTTGCAAAGATTTGCTCATTTTGGTATTGTTCCCTGCATTTTTTACGTCGTCCGGCTAAATGGTTCGTTGCATATTAAGAAAACGCATTGCTCGCTGCCAAAATCCCTTGCTTCAGCCGAGTCGGGTGCGAAATTGACCGTATTGAGGGCTTTAATTCTTCAATACATATTTGGTTTTGGGTTTCGAAGTATGGTACGCTGAAAGCATACAACTATGAGCATATGCTTATTGGGAATGCATATCTATTAGATAGTAAACGTGGAAAAATTTGTATTCAATGGAAGAAGCATACTGAAAATAGGGAATTTGTGCAAACCAAAAAATTTGGGGGGTTATGATATTATTAACATACCCATTTTTACAATGTGCATGTACATAATTAGTGTCTTGGATTATTATAAAGCTAGAGAATGTGATTATAATGAGGATTACAATCATATTTGTATGTCCTTTGTTGAATACAATATTGGACAACAACTTAGTACATTTTGGGGGATTAGAACTAAAAATACATGTTTACATAGATTTTGTCCTCAAAGTGAGTATAGATTAATATTAGAATTTTAAGAAAGCATAACATAAGTAGTACAGATATAAAAGAAGATATGCATAAAACTATTATAAAAAAATTGTTATTTCTATGACTGGGACAGATTAATTTTTCTACGCAATTGTAATTTAAATATTGCATGTGAGAATATTCATAATAATATTCTGGCAAACTATATGAAAACCTTTAATTTCAAGTTAATGTGGGATATTTTACCAGTAAAAACAAACCTGGAATAAGACATATAGCAGGAAATGATATGTGTGTGTTATGTGGAAAAGAACCAGAATTTGTTAGCCCTCTTTTTATGAATTGTGAATATTTTGATTATGTTTTTGATTTCATGGAAAATACTGTTAGGAATTTAAATAATGCCAGACTTTTGAAAAATTATGAAACTTGTGTTTTATTGGATTTTAAGCTATTTGTTACATTCCAACATTACAAGATGTTTATTTAATTTCAATCACTAGATATAAAATATGGATACAAAGAAATTCTGTTATATTCGAAAGTAATACCCCTAATCAGCACCTAGTTATCAAACAAATAAAAACTGCAATCACTTACAGACTCAACATGAAAAAAATAGAAAATCACCAAATTTTGTCAGAGAATTTGAAATACTAAGGAATTGTATTTGAACTATAAATCTAGTGTGTATAAATTTAGTATGTATTAAATGAACATGTCTAATATATTTAATTTTTACGTTTATTGTACATAATCTAACTCAATATACTAAAAACTGATGAATTGTATGCCGATGCGATCAACACCTCAAACACTGATGGAATGGACATATGAAAAATGAATATTGGATTATTTATCCTACAGTACAGAATATGAACCAGTCGCCCAGTGGGGTGCGGTTATTTATGTATTTATTAGGATAATGAGGATAAGGATTACATATTTATCCCGGGGGAAAGGAAAGCCGATAAGACGACTTATCCATATGGCGAACCACGGCCTCTCGTCTGGTTACCATTCCAAGTCGGGCATGGGATTAGTTATATTGTTTGTTTTCGGAAGCATGGACTTGTTAGTGGAGGAAGCCGTAACCGACCAGCGGTTACGTGAATCACCCAACGGCGGCGAGGAGTCCAGCAATCCTCTTGCACATAACCATCCCTGCATGGATACGAACCTGCGGGACCCATGCAGAGTAATTTAGAGGTGCGGTGGCGAGCGTATTCCTAACGCTTAGCCCGTTGAGCCACACCGCCGCGCATGGGATTTACATATTTATCCAAGGGTAGAGGAAAGCCGAGAAGAATGCCTAAATATATGGCAAACCACGGCCTCTCTCAATCATAGCTCTGTCCTCCATATGAATCACATGGCTCTGCGAGCTATTCGTTTACTTATTAAAAATACTGATTTTACTATTTCTCTGGGATATCTTGCCATTGAAAACAAAAGCCAGAAATTGGAAGAATAGCAGAGAATGAAATGTGTGTATTATGTAATGAAGAACTTGAGTTTGTTTCACATATTTTCATGTATTGTAAATTTACAAAAATATTTATGAGGATTTGTTTAGATATATTAAAATTGATTAGAATACATTTGTTATCAATATGATTCTTGCACATTATTTAATTTCAACGATCCTTTATATAGTCATATAGATACTGTTGATTTGGATGCAATTATACTTTTGTAATCAATAGTGAGATATAAAATTTTGACCATGAGAAATTCTATTATATTCGAAAATAAAACACCCCATTTTGCCTTTCTCAAAAAGCAGATAAAAATGGCCATAATATGTAGAAAAATATAGAGAATTATAGAATAAACAACCCATTTGAGAGGGAATTGAAAAATTTATGTAAAGCGTTATTTCAAAAAGAAAATTATATGTTTATGATATGTATTTTATATTTACTAATTTCATTTTTATTGTTTATATCAATGCATTTATTAAAATAACCTAATTATGGTATGGATTACTACTGGAATTGAACAAAATAAATACTGAATCATGGATGCAACATGGAATATGAACTTATTTATATTAACCGTAATTAAAATCACTCATTGAGTGAACGAATGAGCATACTGTAATGCTTATTGGGAATACATACCATTTATTAGGCAGAAAACTTAACTACAGAACAGAATATGAACCAGCCAAGTGGTGACCTGGGATATTGTATTCATTGATAAAGATAGTTTATTTTGAAAAGTCCACAATCTGACAATACAAACAAATAAAAAATGGAGAGTTCTGGAGAGCGAGCAAAACCTTTAAAAAAGTTTAAAACACGATGAGTATCATGTGCCCGCCATGTTATAGCAAGTAGTAATGTGTAATGAATTTAATTCACTGTGGTAAATGAATTGCTATCTTTTTATTTGTTATGAGCACACTTGCTGGAACTCCATAATCTATTATTTTATTTGTTAGTAACACTTTTTATAAAAATATCAAATTGTTTATCATACTTGCATCCATATTTCGCCCTAAATTCTATGACACTTTCTCTGTATCCAAATATCTATGTACATGACCACATTATTTATTTTTTAGTAATACTTCGTTTAAAAGTATCTTAATGTTTATTATACTTGCTATTCTGGTATTTAATCAATTTTTTGCCTTGAATTCCATTCTATGATACTTGCTCTGTATCCAAATATCTATATGTATATGAGCACTTTATTTATTTTTTAGTACCGGTAATACTTATTTAAAAATAACCTATTGTTTATCATTGCTATTTCGGTATATTATCAATATTTCGCCTTAAAATTCATTCTATGATACGCGCTCTGTAGCCGAATATAGATATGTACATGAGCACTTTATTTCATATATATATATATATATCTGCTGGAGAAGGGTCAAATCCTGATCATGTATTAATGTGTGTCACTATCCTCCAAATCACTTGCCAGTCATAATCAAGTATTGTAATTTGATGGGTTCAAATTATAGTGTATAAAGAAATATACTCATGATTTCATTACTATTATCAAATGTTTATAATTAAAGTGCTATAATAATAGAATTTTCCTCATCTTTGCTCATAAAAAACCCATGTCCTATCACATTAATTTTTAGTAGATAAATTTTCCAAATAATAGGTATCCTTGCTAACCCATTTTTATGCAGTTGATATGCAATACATGTCAACTTATCAGCTGAATAAATGATGATCTTAGGACAAAACATGATTATTTAGTACTTTCCAAATCAAAAATTCTTGTGAATAATGTATATAGTGAATACGGTATATGAGAGCTATTGAAGAATTTAACACCGAACCTGTTAAATGACCCCAAATGTTGTAACGTTGTCTCCCAGTCAAACACCTGAGCATCTCTTTTTTTTATTATAATTTATATATGTTCATGGTTCGACGAACGAAATAAACTCTCTCTCTCTATTAGTTTAAAATACTGACTTCTGGACTTGGCTAATTTTATACATATCAAAACTTGTAAATATTTGCATATCAAAACTTGTCATTTATTTCGTTCCATCCATGTTTTTTCAACTGTTTTTCCAATAAAACGTACTTATGCCTTACTGTTATTTGTAGCTTATTATTGTTAGCTAACTATTTTGAGGTGGGGCGCAAGACTTCACAAATTCTAAAAAGGGGGTGCGGCTTGAAAAGTTTGGGAATGCTTGTATGTAGTAGACCCTAACCTGGTACACATGGTTCCGGTGTCTACCAACTGGGTTTACATACTTCAATTTGTATTACAGTTGTAAAACAGAAAAAAGCTGAATGTCGGTCTTATTCCATCTGTAAATTTACCAAAATCTCCATAAAGAATGAACAATGTGCCAGACCATGTGTATTTTCGATGAAATGAAAAGTGACATATGAAAAATACAGAAGCTGTAGAAAATATTTTGCATTCCAAAAAAATTAGTTCACATATTAAATATTTTACATTACAAAAAAAATGGTGCTCCAGAAGTATGTGTACCAATATGAAGGTAACTAATTTTGTTCGCCTATTTTATATCAAGTTGTGTAAATGGACTAAATTCTATCGGTAGGGGATATTCACTTGTGTAACACAGACAATTCCCGAACTTTTAATAGAACAAAAATAAGGAGAATCATAACCTAACCTGGTACACATACTACAAGAGTACCGAAAAAACAGCCCACATAGTAAAGCAGTTATGGAAATACTTTACATTGCAGAAAAATTAATTCACATAGTAAATAGCAGACGCAAGATGTATTTTGCATTGCAGAAAAAATAGCTCACATAGTTAATAGCAGTCCTGAAATATTTCTCACTATTGATAACAAAAGTATAATTGCATCCAAATCAACAGTATCTATATGACTATATAAAGGATCGTTAAAATTAAATGATATGCAAGAATCATATTGATAACAAAATGTATTCTAATCAATTTTAATATATCTAAAACAAATTCTTCATAAATATTTTTTGTAATTTACAATACATGAAAATATGTGAAACAAACTCAGGTTCTCCATTACATAATACACACGTTTCATTCCCTGATTTTCTTCCAATTTCTGGCTTTTGTTTTCAAAGGCAAGATATCCCAGAGTAATTTATAGTTAAAATCAGTATTTTTAATAGGTAAACGAATAGCTCGCAGAGCCATGTGATTCATATGGAGGACAGAGCTATGATTGTGAGAGGCCGTGGTTCGCCATATATTTAGGCATTCTTCTCGGCTTTCCTCTCCCATGGATAAATATGTAAATCCCATGTTATATCAATGAATAAATAACCGCACCCCTCTCGGCGACTGGTTCATATTCTGTTCTGTAGATACGTTTTCTGCCTAATAGATATGCATTCCCAATAAGCATATGCTCATAGTTGTATGCTTTCAGCGTACCATACTTCGAAAACCAAATATGTATTGAAGAATTACAGACCTCAATACGGCCAATTTCGCACCCGACTCGGCTGAAGCAAGGGATTTTGGCAGCGAGCAATGCGTTTTCTTAATATGCAACGAACCATTTAGCTGGACGACGTAAAAATGCAGGGAACAATACCAAAATGAGCAAATCTTTGCAAGTTTCCACTCATTGTATATATGCTCATTGGTGGGCCAAATGACATACCGTATTGGTGGGCCGCAATAAGTTTCCTGATGTGGCCCGCGTCACTGAAAGGTTGGACATGCCTGCCGTAGTGAATACCTAGAAGCGGTAATGAGTTAAAATATCTTGGTCCTCCCAGCGTGGGTGCTGGTCACAGAGTATTCCAATTTGGAGTTACCGGTTCCGTACTGGGTAACGGTACCGGTAACGTACATCATGTGGCACTAATGTCACGCCACACTTCACCTGTTCATGTCAACGTAAATTTCACGTTTCTTCACTGATCAAAATGGCGGAGACGAAAGTTGCTCAAGAGCTCGTTCAGTTTTTACGGATTTCTGCGAAACCGGAGCTAAAGATAGCAGCGCTGGAGAATGTTGTTGGGCTCACAAATAATGCGACTGGAATTTCTTTCATTTTGAAGTATAAAGATGTTTTAGAGGTAAGTGAAATTCAATCATTACTTACCGTACGGTACTAAGACGGCGCCTGAAACTTATGCAAAAGTCAGAGCTTGGCTTTGCCAACCGACCCGACTAAAGAATATTATTTCAACTTTAATATTCATTGGTTGATTAGATGTAGTGTCTATATCAGGTTGGTCCAAGGTTGTCATAAAATTATTTTTGCATTGTTCGCGGGCCACAAAAGTGACAAGAATAGGTGAACAGTGCAATAAGAAACAATTTTATTGTGTAAATACATTGATCAGTATTTGTCATTTTTCACGCTAAAACATGCAAAAATCACCAAAAAAACTCACTAAAACCTACGTCTTTTTATATCTATATTCAGAGTAAGATTTTTCTCTCTTTACAGGTGATTGCTTCCACAAATGTAAGTGCTTTGTAGATGTAAAGCAAAATCCTAACTTTGAAAAATGTTCATTTCTTGCAAGATCCTAGAATGCCGTTATTATGAATTATCTTTCTTTCTCACCGACGCAACTTGGTGACATATCAATCTAGCATTGTGGTATATATGTCAAAAGTGTACCTATACAAGACCCCATTCCTCTTGATTAAACTTTCATTCTTTATCTGTTTCAGGCTCTGCTTTCATTACTGAAAGACAAAGTTCGAGAAGTTGCAGACAACGCTTACAAGGCAGTGATAAATTTATCTGCAGATGACAGTGCATTGAAGTGTATCATTGATGATTATGACATCATAACAGATCTTATAAAAACAATATGTTATCCAGAATCATTCAATGCTGACGGAGCTTGCAAAATTTTAAATAATTTAACAAGGACGAAAAAAGGAGCGTTGGAATTTTTGAAAAAATGCCAAAAGAAAATAGATAATGATAAAAATGACGATTTTTCTGATTCAAAATTGAAAGAACTTATAGACATTTTTTGTAAAACCAAATTTAATGAAAAGGGATCTACGTTGGATCATATCGGAACAATTTTAACGAATGTCACGCAGACAGAAAAAGGTACTTTTTCTCAAGATAATTTTCATACTTCAATTATTATATGGATTCAATAATTTGTTGCTTTTATTTCTTCAAAACTATTTTGGGTAAGCCATTATAATTTATCTCTGTTCTGAAATATTGTTGAGATCTGTGTTCAAAATTTCCGCTTCCAAATATTATTCTCTGTGGATTAGACCAGGGGTCACCAAACCTTTTTGACCGCGGGCCGGGTATGACTCAAATTGTGTTGAAACGGGCCGGATGAATATTTTTGTCAATGCAATACAATAAATTCACAAAAGTTGGGAATATCGCAGAATATAGATCGAGAACATCCTAGGAAAAAAAATTAACAAGATTTCTATATCTAGACAACTATCCTGAGTTTAGCTGTTATCAAAACGTTGCTGTCATGAATTAGAAATGTTACAAAATCCGCGGCAAAAAATGTACGCATCACGTCTGCTAAGTACCGTTACGCCGTGTTGAAATACCGCTCATAAAAACGACTGCCTGCTGTAGCTTGGAATTCTATGAAATTTCGACATAATTTAGATAAAATAAACAACTATTATCTGGTATTTGAATTTTTTCATTAGCGCATAAATTTCCCAACATTCGACGCTTTTAAAAATTACGTTCCAGTTATACGTAGTGCAAATTAATGATATTGTCTATGGACACCAATAAAATTTATATGGATGTGTGTATTTCTTGTCTAACTTGATACTTACCAATTTTTATGAAGTTCGTACAATCAGAACATCGTTAATTATTACCCACAATAAACCACTGTCAAACTATCATGCACAACTCCAGCGTTTATTTGCGACGATCTTTCGGCGGTGTCAATGACCGTTGCCAGAATAAAATCCTGAAATAGTCTCAATATATCATAGATGTGACGCACATCGAAAGATTAGTGATTGATATGTGTTATTTTTCCATATTTAGTTCAGTTATTATCAAAAAAGTAATACAATCATTATGGAAAAAATTGGCTGTCGGGCGGTACTAAAATTCCGATATCTCCGTTATTTCTTGACCGTTTATTCCAAACTTGGTATTGTTTTCTATTTTTACTCAGATCTTTCCACTGGAGCACTTTTTATTTAAATCGGATGAACTTCAATTTTTTTGTAACATACCTACATGAATATCCGCATTAAAGCAGTACAAAAGTTAGTGTGGCTTTTGAAATTGGAGCAGTACGCGAGGGATTACAGTACTGTTAGCACAAAATGCACATTTGACGTTTATTTTAGCACGAAAAACAAACAGTTTCGTCGAAAGCAAGCGCCACGAGTGTACAAGTGTATCGCAGAAAACGTTACGTACTGGTAGCATTCAAAGTCGCAAAAACGAAGTTTTGTCTACAACCACGACTGAAAATCTGTCAGGGTGACAAAAGTGTCTGAGCGGATGCGGAAAGGCCTATTATTACGTCACTTTTCTGCATCTTGCCGATTGGCCAATGTTACGAAATAAACAAGGACGACGATGCTCGTGAAAATCTTCCTTGGAAAAAAATGTAGCCATTTTTGCTTGTTATTGCGAACCGGATAAAATGACGCCGCGGGCCGGATAAAATGACGTCGCGGGCCGGATCCGGCCCGCGGGCCGTAGTTTGGTGACCCCTGGATTAGACTGTTAGAATGTTTCAAGTGTTTAAAAAAAATTTGGAAAATCAAAATTTGTGAATAAACAGTTAAAATTTCATTTTTCAGGCAGGAAACTCTTACTGGACCATGAATCTCCTTTGATTGGACAATTACTTCCATTTCTCAATCCTGATTCGTCCCCCTTACTGAGGAGGCGGGGCATTTCTATGACCATCAAGAATTGCTGTTTTGATCATGGCAAGTATCACTGAATCTTTTTTTATTTTAAACGATAATGGCTATATTAGATTTGTTTAGAAATCTTCAGTTATTCCTCGTGTCACAGTTTTGTCCACTCTTTAGTTCATGTTGAACAAACTGGTCATCTATTGCGATGATGATTGGTGTTCGGACAAGAGTTTTTGTATGCCATATTATTAAGTCACAAAAGATTCCAACAAGTTGTAATTTTGCAATTCAGAACATCATGAATGGCTTCTCGGAGAAGAAGTTGGAATACTGGAACATTTACTGTTACCACTAGCTGGGGGTGAAGAGTTTTCTGAGGACGAAAATGAGTCACTCCCCCTCGATTTACAATATTTACCTGAAGATAAAAAGAGAGAACCCGATTCCAGTATAAGGATAATACTTCTGGAAAGCTTATTACTTGTAAGTAATGTATTTCTCAGTGTATAATACACACTTTAAACAATAAGGAAAATTGGAATAAAATTATGGCCTAACCCTAACCTGGTACACATACTACGTTTCGGTGTCAGCCATCTTTGTTTGGATACTTCGGGGGCACAGAAAATTACGGGTTTCGGGCAGAAGCTTCAGTCATTCACTACCCAGTGAATTAAAAGTGATAAGACTGGCACTCTATGTTAACTTCTGTTGTTGTCTAAGTCACAAAATGTGATTTTGTTCAGTTTAAACTGTAAAGAAATAGTTTTGTGTCAGTGTGTAGCAAGTCTTTTGAGTCACTTATAATACTCGATATTACTCGGAATTTATTTTCCAGCTCTGTGCAGACAAGCCAGGCAGAATGATCCTGAAAAACTCCGGGACTTATTATATTATCAGAGAATTGCACAAGTGGGAAATAGAGAATGGTCCAGAAGAGAACGGAGAACAATGTGAAAAACTAGTGCAGGTAGGTTTTTGACATGACATTTTTCATATCTTCAGTCATTTTTACTTCTGGTAAGATCCAAGTTCTCGGCTAGTGGGATTATATGATTCGTAATTTTCCAAAAACCTGATGTCCGTCCGCTCTTCTATAATAAGACCTATTTTTTCATTAAGTTATTCCATTTTCATCAGATATCTTAGAGCCCTGTTCAATATTGAAAAGCCAATAACTAGAAGCAAAGAATAAATGCATTAGAGTAAAAAAATTCAACAAATCATGGTCAGTATTTATCGCAAACGGTACCAGGTGAAGGCCTTTTCTCATGGCACTCAGAGGACCGCCCTGTGAACCCATACAGCCGGGGTGGGCAGGATTTTGGATTGGGGCACACAAAAAGCCAGATTTAGCCCTTGGGTCGTAAAGGGATGGAAGCCCAGTTTCAGAAGCCCTGCACAACGGCTATGCTATACTTACTTGGGCTGAACAGAGCAGTACTGCTAAGTGATACAGTTACTGTCTACATCATGCCCTATATTATTAAATACCTTATAATTTCCTCATTATATGATAAAGCAGTAAAAGATAATGCTCAGATATAAGGAACAATTGTCCCAAAGATATATACAGTATATCTTCGGCCATGTCATATGATTTTGAAAATCAGAGTCTTATGGCTCTAGTTTTTGAAAGAATATGTCTTGGCCATTCCCGGTTTATGATGAAATGTAGTTTTTATAATAATTGCGAGTTTACTGACGTAGTTATCCTGAATTTTCAAAATTTGGGAATCCCCTTTTAAATTTATTCTTTTGCTTACCCCAACTTTCACCCCTCCCCAATCCAACTTCCACTCTGTCCCCGATTTTGTGCTTTGCATTATGTACAAGAGTTGTAGCATTAGTGACGAAACCTCAATTATACTTTTATCTTGAATGTAGCTCTATTGCGCTACCTAGTGTAAGATTAAAATAGTTTTCAATCAGAAATGCTCCCTTGTGCAGTAAAGCATAAAAATCTTTTCCCTAACATGCCAATGATGATAACATCGCTCTTAACTTTTTTTGCTATACGAATCTGAGGCATCTTATAGCAGAAAAATAATTTACACATGAATGGTTCCCACTCGCGTTTCAAACGGCGAATAGCAAACTACACTTTTGGTCGTTGAATTCTAATTATGTCACATTCTTTCAGATACTGATAGCTGACGAACCAGAACCAGGGATGGAAAATTTATGGGAGATTCCAAATGAGAAGTTAAAATTGGATACATAATGGAGATCATACTGTTGGGCATCATTAAACAAACACATACTCACTGTTATGGACATTATATCAGTGATGGCAAGGATCGGCCCCTGACTCTGGCTTGAAGTGGACTTGATTCACTTTTTATTCACAAGTGCTTGAAGTGACTCAAGTTATCTAGGTGGAATAACATAGAATTCTGCTAAATTTGTACAAAGCCGACCCTACAAATCGTGACATGTCGTACGCACCTGTCACAGTAAATGGTTGCAGGAGAGAATTAATGCGATATAGAGTTATCTGCGTAAAGGAATAATTTTTAATGCGAGTATAAGCCAACTAACTCCTTATTAATTTGACAACTTTTTTTTTGAGTTTCAAAATCAGCTCATATGTGAGGATAGATGAAGACAGAGGGCATGAGCTCAGAAAATGGGTGCTTTGACCATCAAAACACTCCCAAGTCATTACTTTAATCCTTACTCTTGTAAAAAAAAATGAAAAGGTTTTTTGGAACCCAATGTGTATTTTATAAAATCATAGTATCTCTCAGTTACTGCCTTATTCAGAGTGAAAGATGCATAAGAGAGTTAAAAAAAATCATGACAAAAATGTTTTCCAATTGTATTTTTGTTCTTATCATTCATTTTAATAATCATTGAGTAATTCTTATTGCAGTGATATGGACTGTCTTTGAAACGTAGTAACTAGAATTCAGTCGTTTAAATAACTCTAATTTTGATTATGCTATGTGAATCTGATTCATTATCCAATCATGTATATGCCAGATTTTATGTGCAAATGTTGTTAAAACCATATCGTCATCATTAACTAATGAGTTAATAATTCTGATAATCCATTACTTATGTGTAAAGTGTGCTACGGTTATCTCTCCAGATTGATTTGAAGATGATTGATGCAAATATTTGTAGCTTTGGTTAATTTTACAATATTTTCGATTACCTGGTTTTCAAAATGAATATCTTTTGAACTTTTTAAGTTGTATATCCATTTATGCAATATGACTTGTAGTTGGAGATTTGGAATCAACCATTCTGACCCCATGCCCTTGCCCAGAGTGTAACGAATTGCGCCCACAATGCTGAATGTGAAAGATGGTTCCATTACATTTGAACCCACGTACATTTGAACCCATGACAATTGCACCTGTATGCTATTGCACCTATGGAATTTTTTTTGTTTCACGGATAGTTAAACCCATACTAACCCTAACCCATGGGTTTTAGTACCCGCGTATAGATTGAACCCGTGGATATACGCATGGGTTCAAATGTACATGGGTTCAAATGTACGGTCACCGTGAAAGATACCCTCCTTATTAAAAAAAATATTTTTGTAGTGAAAATGATAAAACTTTGTATAAAAAAATTTGGTGGAAATACTTACTGTTGTTGCCCTTTCTCTTCCCAGTCTAGGTTTTAGCCCCATGCCTTCTCTCAGAGTGTAAAAATTGGGAAATGCTGCACGGGAGAGATTCCTGTCACTTACAAAAACAGTTTTTTTTGTAGTAAAAGCTAAAAACAAAATAATTTGGTGTAAATTTATACTAGATGCTGTCGTTTCTTTTCCCAGCCTAGATAGCAGTAGGTTTAAGCCTTAACCCGGGTTGACAATGCTGAATGAAAGGAATTTCTGTCTATTAGAAAATAGTAACTCCTTTCATATGATTCACTGCTTTTACGGAGCTTTTGCTCGGTGTTAAAGTTTGAAACGGGCGTACAATAATTTTTTTTTCAATTCTTCGTGCTCCAGAAGTGTGTGTGCCAATATGGAGGTTATCATCCTACTTTACATCAAGTTGTGTAAAGGGACTGAAACGAATGGGCAGGGGTATATTCACTTGGCTAACACAGACAGTCCCCGAAATCATAGTAGAACAAAAATAAGGAATATTGAAATAAAATTATGGCCTAACGCTAACCTGTTACATATACTACGGGAGTACAAAATTCTTTACTTATTGCTTTTTCTTTTTCCAGTCTAATTAAACTAGCTAAATAGTAGTTGCTTTAATATGCCTCGGCGAAAAGGAAGGAAAAATCCCACTCCGAAGAAAGTGAAAAAGAGCAAAGATAAAGATGAACAGGATTACGAAGAACCCATGGATGTAGATCAAGATTCAGAAACTCAAGAAAATAAAAATATTGCGCAAGAACCAACTAAAATTGCGCTACGTTCAACCAATGTTGCGCGATCTTCTAAAAATGATCCTTCGGATGTAACAAATAACTTGACAAGTGGATCAGAGCATGACGAAAAATCTTTATCACAATATGAACCCCTAGATAAAGTCATGCAGGATTTCTCTTCTCTACCTAGCGATCATATCGAACTGATGAATTTGCTGAGCCATATGCCTCCAGAATCACTCTATAAAAAAGATGATATTGAAGTCATCAATCCGTCTGAAACGCAAGTCAGTGAAAAAAAATATGTCTGTCCAAAATGTGGGAAAGAATACCCCACAAAAAGTGGCATTCGGTACCATATAATGCAAGCTTGCCCAAATTATTGCAACAAGGCCTTTTCTTGTTTAGTATGTCTCGATAAATTTCGTCGACGGAAAGATGTTTTGAATCATATTGCCACTGTGCATGCGTCAGCCAGTACTGCGTATAACACTCGGAAATCAAGGCCTGAGTTTTCCTATGCAGAAGAGATTTCAGTTAGTACAGAAGAAGACTCTGTACCATTCACACCAGAAATGGAGAGCATTTCAACCCCAAAATCCTCCAAAAGCTCCAAAAAAACTGTTTCTGGTGATAGCAAGACAACTTTTGCGAATTTAGATAGACCATTACATGAAGTAATGCCGTGGCTTTATAATGTATTAAAGACGATCCAAGATCAGTTTAAAATTGTCCATTCTGAACTACTTAGCAATGAATTGGTATCCGATCTGAATTTTGATTTTTCTGGGATGCAGCGTTCCTCTCCATTTTTTATAAAGCGGGAAAATAAACCTGGTTTTAATACCGAGTGTGAAGGATTAGATTTGTTTTCTGCTGTTCAAGCAACGAAAGATTGTTTAGATATGACTTTTAATGTCGGCGGACCAGTATGGGCGATGTCATGGTGTCCAGAAACTTTGACGAACACAAATTCGAAACAATATTTAGCGTTAGCTACTCACGCCGGTCTTCATTCACCAGAATCAGTTTATTCTGAGCCAGGGATGATTCAAATATGGAATTGTGGGGTTTTGGGGTTACATGAACACCAAAATATGACCCCTACTATTGTTTATGGGTTTACCACAAATGAGGCCCCTATTTGGGATCTAAAATGGTGTCCTGTGGGGGGAAAAGGAAATATCACCACTGCAGATGGGGCAGTTAAAAATCGTTTAGGTATATTAGCAGCTGCTTGTGCAAGTGGGAAGGTTCTGATTCTACCTATTTCTGAACAAGAGTTGCTAAAAACTGAGGTAGAACACAATGATATGACATCGGGGAAAAGTAATTATAATTCTGCCAGTATCATATATAAAGCCAATCCATCAATGATTCTTATACCTGCTTTTGGTGATAAATTTGATGTTGAAAATTTGTTTGGTCAATGTTTAAGTGTTGATTGGTCTCTTCATGACGGGGCTGAATGGGTCGCAGGGGGGTTTTCAAAAGGTTTAGTTGCTTTGTGGAAAGTAAAGGACCCTTCGAAATTGCTCTTTACCGAAGATTTGAACAATGGGCCTTCCACTCTAGTTGCTTGTCGAACTTTTCATGCCCATATTAAATCTGTGAAAAGTGTTCACTGGTGCCCGTTTGCTTCGGTTCTTGCGACTGCAGGTTTGGATCGGGCTCTTAAATTTTGGAATCCGGAATACACAGAGGCTCCTATCATGGAGTCTAAAACTAAAGGAAGTCCATACACACAAATATGTTGGCCTAGGTTATGGTGTGGGGTATTTGTGGCAACAGATGAAGTTTTTGCGGCACCACATTGCCATGGTGTCGCATATCATTGTTTGATGTCACGAATGCCTTACAATACAATTCCTTTTAAATCAGCATGCTGGTCTGTGTCAAGCTCTGATTGGATGAATTGTGTCGTGGGCGGGGATGCAACCGGCCAATCAGTGATTAATTCTTGTAGCAATTGGAGTCGAAAAGTTAAGATATCAAAAGCATTTCCAAGAATTGCGCTTTTTTCAACAGAGGTAGAATGGCAGGATTTTTCTTCGCAGGAAAATGGCGACGCTGACTCATCTCAGAGTGACAATGATACCTCCATGGTGATTCAAGAAGTCACTGAAAACTCAGAAAAATCTACAAGTAAGCATATATCAAAGCAGAACGGTACATCTTCGAATCTTTCTGAAACAAAAGACGCAGCGGGTTGTAAAGGAAATGAAATTGCTGTACGACGCAACGTGCCGAAAAACAGTTGCACAGCCCCTTACAAACTCAAATTTTTTGACACCAATATGAATGATGTCAAACACACAGAAAAAAGGAAATGCCATAAAAATGTTCGCATTCACGAATTTTTCCCTGCAACAAATTGTAGGCATCCATTAGTTGCTTCTGTAAACACAGTGTCCTGGAACCCTAACTTAGGAAGTCATACTTGGATAGCCTCCGGAATGGAATGTGGACTTGTTCGATTGCATTGTGTTGATACAATGCATTCAGATGCAATGGAAACTGCCTATCATAACTTGTTTTCCTAATTAGTTTATTGATCCTCTTGCTCAGAATAAGGCTTTAAACGAGAATATCGGTCGAAGACCGAAGACTTATTGATAGAAAGTTAAGGGATACCCCAAAACAGAAACTGCGGTTTCAGTTCATCCGCTCTTAGTCCATAGCGACAACCTGTGTCCAATAACTCGCTAATTATATGACATAATTCATCCAAAATCAATAGGCGTCTGGTCCGCGATATGATGAATGCATGTGCGAAATTTGGAGCAGATTCAACCTCGCTTTCGTGAGATATCGCATGCATATAACAGACAGACAAATCCTTATCAACATACTTATCGAGATCGATAAAGTAGTAAGCGTTCATCACAACATGGCGAGTCTTTCATGGTCCAGTCTTGTTCAGGTCCACTCAAGCTGAATTCTCTCCCCATTCTGAATCTAGATCCCAAAAACTTCACATTCAGACGCAATGGATACTGCCTATTATAACTTGTTTTCATAATTAGTGTTTTCTGTATCCAGGTTAATTTTAATACAATTTTCACAATGGACAAAGCTTTTGTCCCAATAAATATTTTAGAATCCAGATCACAAAAAATTGATTTGAAAATCTTTAATCCTTTTGAAATTTTCTGACAACCATGTGAAATGCGATCAATCGGCGAGTTCAACTGTGCTACTTCTGTATTCCCCGCTCTTTTGGTGCTATTTTATATGATTATTTATATGCTAATGCTTGTAGTTTCAAAAATTTTACTCTTCCAAAATATCAGCTTTTGAATGAATCCCATTTCTATATTCCATATTTTTAATTAAATTCGTTTATGAGGCAGTTTTTAGAATTTTCTCATCCGTTGCTCAATATTTTGCCTCTGTTACCTAGCTAGGACTACTAAGATTATGATTGAATTCTATTCCCAGAGTGTTCTCTTTTTCTGAATTTCAAGTTTGAACGAATAACTGATCAACCAATTCCATGGTTCTAGGAAAATTCGCTGTAGGAAATCTCGCCACGGGAAATTTCGCTGTATAGAAAAAATCATCGCATGAAAAATCACTGCAAGAGCATTTTTCTGTAAAACAAGTAATTGTGAAAAAACGTTTTTGAAGTACTTTTTTATTTAAAAAAAGATCCACGTTTTATGAGCATACCCTCTAACCCTATGTGGCGAATTTTCCGGACAAGATTCCCATACCCGACATGGTAAACAGAGGACTGATTAATTTTCCATACGATTTAGCTGTCATTCCATTCTGGGATGCATTATAAAATTACTTTCCTTTAGTAAATGTCATTGCCCTCTGGTTCAACAGCACGATAGTAAAACTTCTTGTCTCTTTTTTGTCCTAACCTTAAAAAATCCAATCAAACATCAAACGGCAGCATTCTCTCTCCTATTTAAAGATATCATTATTCTGACCAGTCATGCTTGATTGATTTCTATTTGACATTAGATTAGTATTGGTATGATTTGACCTATCTGGGAAAATTATTCAAGCATAAAGCTGCAGCATTGACAGTCTCATTCCGGGACACAATTATTACAGGGATAGCTCAACGTGCTAAGCGTTAGGAATACGCTCGCCACCGCATCTCTGATTCCTTTGTGTGTGTTCGCAGGTTTGAAACCCATGCGGGGATGGTTATTGTGGACTCCTCGTCGCCGTAGGGTTGTTCACGTAAATCCTATCCTGACCAGCCATGCTTGATTGATTTTTCACCAATACAGACCAGAACTTGATCCGAATAATGTTATTAAAGCATCATCTTTTCTCAAACGAATCATTCATCTCATTTCTTTACTTGTTTTTTATATTTTTACTTACTCAGCATAATTATAATTATGTCTGATGAAGAAGCCGAAACTTCTGAACCAGAAATTGAACGACAGGCAGAGAAGAAAGTCATTTATCCGTTGAAAGTCTTCTATTGTCCAGGTTGGTATTTTTGGACACAAAGTGGACATAACGATCGTTCCAATATTATGTTGTTGTTCTTATTCTTGTTCTTTGACACGATTTTAAAAAGTCGCTTTTCTCTTTGATTACTGGACCAATTGCTTTGAAATTTTCAGTGGTCAAAGATAAAAATTTTCTTTAGAAGGCTATTACTTTTTTTTTCGCTATGATGTCATCAAAATTATTGCCATTAGGTGGCGCTAGGTGTCCATATATTTGAGCATAGCTCTCTTGTTCTTACAGTACTGGCTGGTTCAGTGATTTTGGGGTAGAAACATGGCAATTTTTATTTGTCGTTCTCACGTTTACAGGGCTTCTAAGGCTATGTACAAAGCGTTCACTGATCGTTTTTTTGAATATTTTGATTCAGTAGTAATTTTCTGATGAGTATATAAATAGTACTGATGAGTTATTCGGTAATTTTAAAGAAATAGGCTACCATATTTTTCTTTTTGGAGCGTTTTTGGAGGAATTTTTCGAACAAGCATTTGCGTAGCAAGGCGAGGAGTTCAGCAATCTTCTCACACATGGTTATCCCCGAGATTTGAACCTGTTAACCAACGCAGGGTAATCATAGCAAGCGTACTCCTATTGCTTAGCACGATCGGTTATTTCACCGAGTCTGGTGACATTTTGTGTCAAATCTCCAATAAATTGGTGTAAATGTAATAAATTGGTGATGCTTAACTAGAAAATGGCTGGATTTCCAAAGGTATAGTTTTTAAAAAGTCAATGATTTGCTTGTAAGGACATTGTTTAAAGTGAAAATACTCAATCTCATAAAAAGGCAGAAGGAGACTAAATAATAATCAGTTCATGTTGTTTTTTTATATCAGAATGCACCCTCCCTCTTGAATACTGTGAATTCATGCCAGAAGCTACTCGACAAAGATGTAAGGACTGGAGAGACAACAACAATGATTTGTTGATTGCTGAAGGAATTGATATGGAAAAGCTCTCACTTGGTAAGATTTTTTGTGGCGATGGGAACCTTAGACTGGTGACTGTTCTCAATGCATTAGTGAAACAGCTTCCTAAAGCAAGCTTATTTATCCCGGTAAAATAGTAGCATGGTGTAATGAGATGGAGCACCATAAGCTCTTGTCTTGTATTTTAAATAACTTAGTTATTAATGGGGGTGTAGCCAGGTACTTTCAAGGGGGGTTCTGAAATTTCTAATTGCCGAATTGGACTGTAACAGATAGCAAATCCCGCCGGAAGAAGTGGGTTTTTCACCAGTTCTCAGGGTCAAAAAGCGTTTCAAGTTATTAAAAATTGCTCCTGAGTATGGTGCAGAAAAAGGCTTTATCACAGGGTTGTCCAAACTACAGCCCTCGGACCGCATGCGGCCCCCAGACACATTCTGTGCGGCTCGTGCATTGGCAGATATTTGTATTTATTGGCAGAAAATGTTTGAGTTATTTTTAAACTCTTTCAACTGAGAATAGTCCTTCTCGTAATCCCGATGTCGGGATTAATGTTTGTTAAAATCATGGAATTTTAATGTTGTATCTATGAACGTCGAGACGGTGCCAATATGGGAATAACGTCCTGTGCTTTGTACCAGGATAATGAATCATCTTGTGCAGACAGAACCAAGTCATTGAGATGAGTCACGCTTTTATCTAAACTTCAAACCTCGGCAAGCAATTTAAAAACTAAAGGCTTTATATATCCTCCTCAAAAAAGAAGAGCGGTAAAATCTCATTCTTAAATATATTTAAAGCGAGCTAATTCGCAGTGTTTTGATCACTTCTGGATTTTTTTCGACTACGGTCCACAAGACATTTTCAAAAGTTTTTGCGGCCCGCCAACCTGGCAACCTTGGACCACCCTGCTTTATCACATTTCAGAAGAGGGGGAGGGGAGGTTTGACCTTGAAAAAAAAACTGACCCCTAATTATTAATCTGCTGAAATGATGTATCTTTCTATATGTGCCAGTAGGTAAATGTATGCTTCCAATTCCTTAAACTCATTCAGATTATCGCTATATTATATCTTCACTTCGGGAAGAATAAACTTTTTAATAATTTTTTTATCAACATTTTTAACCCAATAAAATTACAGGGAAGCAACTGGGGAAAATGTCTTCGAATTATTTTAACATCAATATTTTTGTTTTTCAGAGGAGACATCCGGTGAAAAGAAACGACAGAAGCGGGGAGGAAGAGGGAACGTTAAAGCAAAACAAAAGAAAGAGCCGGATAAAGTTCGAATCGCTAAGATACCGAGGGGAAAGAAAAAATTTGTAACAAGAGTTCAGGGATTAGGGACATTCGGTGAGAAAAATTATGGAACATTTTGTTTTCCTGACATTGTAGTTCTGGACCTCCTGAAGTATGCACACCAAGATGGCGCACAACCTGAACTCAGGTTGTGTACCAAGTTAGAGTTCAGGTTGTGCGACATCTTGGTTAGCATACTTCAGGAGTACCGTAGTTTTGAAGTGATTCAAGTCTTTGTCAATACTAAGCATTATAATTAAACCATCGAGTGAGTATATGTCAAGATTATATCTGGTTATCTTCGCCAATTAGAATTTATTTATTGGTTAACAATTACTTTTGAATCCCAATTGTCATATTAGGGCACCCTCTTCTCTAATGTAAATTTATGTCTGAAAAATGTTAAATTGCCTGCCATCGGTAAAAATAAATTAATAGAATGATAGCAAATAACTTGTATCATGAATGATTTGTTTGTCGATGAGATCACGTACAATCCCCATTATCAATTTTTCTTTTTGACACTGCATTTTTTGGGTCATTTGAATTGCATAGTATGTAATGTTTGTTCCCGAACAGCATCCTTGCATTATACGGATCCACTAGCGCAAATGCATCGAGGAAGGATTGGGAGTTAGGCTCTAGTAACTTTTACTGATAGTTTCAAATGAATAGTAGCTCTTTTCATATCATGAGTTATCTGGGGTCTGGTATAGTTTAGTACAGGGGTTCCCAGGCTTTTCTCAGGAGTCAGGACGACCCCAAAGACAACTTTCAAGTGTCCAGTGCGACTCCAGTTTAATATATATGTATTTTTCATGAAACTTTAAAGAGCCTATTTCACTGGACTTTTGTGTTTGGTCATGTGGTGGTATTAAGTAAAATAAGTTAAAGCCAAATAGTGATGTCACAATAAGCACCTACATTTTTTATAGCATAAGCATAGAGCGATGCCTATGGGCGTGTTTTACAGTAAGCCATGGTACAAACTGCTAAATTTAACATGGTTTGTCAAATCTTAGATGTTTTGTACATCCATCCTCTACCATACCTCAGTGACCCCATGACCTGTTCCACGACCCTACCTACTTATCACACCGACCCAATTTGGGGTCGCAACCCCTGGTTTGGGAACCCCTGGTTTGGAACCACATGCACTTCTAGTTGGCCTGGCTTCACAATTTTTGCATATGTCATTCCTAACCCCCCCCCCCCCACCTGACTACGTTACCGAAAAATTTCGTTATTGAGACGCCACAGTTGGGTAATTATGCCCTCTTAAAGTAAGCGGATGGTCAACGTGCAGACGATCGATCACCTGAAATCGAGCAAGCTATTTATCTTGTCGCAACGATCCCGATATAAGAGAGGTCGCCGGCGTCAGTGAGTTTGTTACCGGCTGCGCTGATGCCATTTCAGGCGATGGTAGGTCTACTTTGGCAAGCTTTATGACCTGATTGTGACGTAATTTTTGGATGACATGTCAGGTGAGGGTCATGATTGACATGTCATGTGCAAAATTTGTTTTGCTTTGCCCACTGGAAATACTTGTGGTATTATACTATACTAGACATGATAGCTGTAGGTCTTGTTCGGATTGAAAGGTGCAAGTAAGCGTTGTATGAAAAATTTTACCAGAATTTTCTTTCTTGATTTACAGATGTCAATCTGAAGAAAGCGTCAAAATTATTTGCTCAGAAATTCTCTTGCGGTTCTTCTGTGTCTGGCCCGGATGAGATTATTATTCAGGGAGACTGCACAGATGAATTGTTTGATTTGATACCAGAGACATGGAACGAGGTAAGAAATTTTGTTTAGTGCGGAGCATCAATAAATTGTGAGCTGTCAATAAATTGCTTAGATTGTTTTTTATTCATACATGAGGTGCATGACTATAAGACGAAATGGTTTTCAATTAAAGTAATGCCGGTACTGGTTTTGACTGTAGATAATAAAGCACTACCTGATCCATATATTAAGCGCGCCACCTTACAAGGCCCCTGATCCCCGTTCTGAATGTCAATAAGTTGCTTGGACTGGGTTTCCATTCATACATAAGGTGCATCGGGCTATGAGACGCAACGATTTTAAAGCAATACTGGTACTGGATATGAGTGTAGAACAGCGGTTCCTTACCGGGGGCCACAGCAGTTGGAGGTGCCAGTATGCTGGGCGCAAAACTGATTTTACTGGATTTCTTCCCTTTGTCGAGCATGAATTGTTTGAACATAATGGGATTTGGAATCTACCAATTAAAATAGCTAGGATACTATCAATACCACTGTAATTACAAACAGGGGCCATGAGAGCTAAACGACTCGGAAGGGGGCCACAGGCTATAAACGGTTGGGAAACATTGGTGTAGACAATAAAGCACTACCTGACCCATACATTGGGTGTACCTGCTTATAAGTTACTCGCCCCCCTTTTGGGAAAAAATAAGGGTGCGCTCGTGCTTTGGAAAATACGGTGTAAGAACTAGTTGTATAGCTGTCTGTCGTATGGTCGTTAGTGTGCAGTGGGTCTTTTGGATCACTTTGAATTCTTGCCACAACATCCCTGCATTATATGCATACAGATCCATCGCACAAAAGCACAGAATAAGCAGCTGCTACCCAATTGATAATTTTTACTCTTAGATTGAAGAGGACCATATTGAAGATCTTGGTGAAGTTAAGAGGTGATCTATCCATGGAGAACAAGCTAAACAAGAGGACGGGAGTCGAATCCGCTGAAGTCACGATGAAAAAACTACAAGAACAATAAAGTGACTTAAATTAGACATTTTGTCAACTATGAATTATGCATGAAATAAGTTTTTTTGCTGATCTCAGCATAAATTCTTGCGCAACTTGCAGCAGCTCAATAATAAAAAATGTTTATTTTATTTACTGTGAGATTGTTATATGGTAATAAATGAAAAGCAGGGGTTATTTTATTTTAAAGTTGTAACAGGATTCTTATGAGCAGCCTTCCAGAGAAGAAATGGTTTGAAGAAGTTGTGCAGTCACTTGGATGGCATTTCAAAAGATAAAGTAATAGTAGGCTAGAATAGATCATAGGCTCAAGTGCTCTATACGAAGTGGCTCTTCACAGGTCAAGGAAAGACTTCCCAAAGTTGAGCGTGATCCCTTCCAATTTATTAAAATTCTCTGGGAGCCCTTTTTAAATTGGCTTTGTTATGCAAGCCCAGCTTCTCTGATTCTATGTGTTCTCTCAAAATTGTGAAATTTATGTTTTGCATTAATTTTAATAATCTTGTTTCAATCAAGTCTAAAAAGTACAATGGGTGTAGTACTTTGATTAAAATTGGGTTCTGTTTAAGACCACCAAAATTTACTGCAAGCCCAAATACAGGGGCGTAACCATTTTTCATTTAATGAATTTGTATGCAATAATCTATCTCCTTGCAAACTATAGTCAAAGGGTAAAATTTGAAATTTTTATTTTCTTGAGTTTTAAAAAATAGGCTCAGCTCGTATACCTCTTCTTTAAAGAGTGTCAATCAAAGAGGAAAAAATTGAAGTCAACTTATTTCAGGAATCAAGTAAATACCAATTTTGTTTATTACGTGTCTGCTGTTGGGTGTTTATAAATATGAAAAAGCTAAGATTTCATTTGTCATTTAAGATCTGTTACTCCCGTAGTATGTGAACCAAGATGGCGGACACCGGAACATAGTATGTGTACCAGGTTAGGGTTAGGCCATAATTTCAGGTACAAATACTACAGGAGTCACTTGGCTAGTCTCCCAACTCGTAATAGAACTAAAATAATGAAAATTGGTTCACATACTACCGGATTAACAAAGAAAAGTTTTTAACAGAATTCTTGAGCGTGTCCAATTTATTTCATAAAAATTACCATTTTACAAGTTTCAAAAATAAAAAGACAAACATTTTATAGGGTTCAAACAAATGGTTTCTGTTGTCTATTTATATTTTTGAAAATATTCTTCTTAGTTCAAAATCTTTGGAATCAAAACTTTTAAGAGTCATAATTTCGGGTTCCACAAAAATGGGGGGAATTCTTGAAGTACCGATATGTGTACCAGGTTTGGCCATAATTTTATTCCGATCATGAGTTCGGAGACTGTCTGTGTTAGCCTAGTAAGTATACCCCCTGCCCATAATTTCGGGTTCCACAAAAATGGGGGTACTCCCGAAGTATGTGTTTCAGGTTGGGCCATAATTTCATTCCGATTATGAGTTCGGAGACTGTCTGTGTTAGCCTAGTAAGTATACCCCCTGCCCATAATTTCGGGTTCCACAAAAATGGGGGTACTCCCGAAGTATGTGTTTCAGGTTGGGCCATAATTTCATTCCGATCATGAGTTCGGGGACTCTCTCTGTTAGCCAAGTGAATATACCCCCTGCCCACAGGTTTCAGTCCCTTTACACAAGTTGATATAAAGTAGGCAAACAAAATTAGTGACCTTCATATTAGTACACATACTTTTGGAGCGCCAAAATGGGAGCCAGAGTCTAAATTTTCAACAAATCGGGAAGACACACAGGTAGTCCATAACTTAAATCTAGAAGACATGCATTCGCTGAAGTTTTCTTGGTTACAATTGGGGTCTGGGGACTGAAATCAATTTTTTATCTAATAATCACAAATTTTATAAACACATGGGAAATACAACATTTCTTTGATTCTCCATCTCTGAATTCTGACAGTTGTATTTCCATTTCAGGTTTACGAAACACGATTTGAAAACACAATTCAAGTAATTATGATTCATTTTTTTACATAGCGTGGTTGCAACGTTAGATATTTTAAGAGATTGTTGATACATTGGGAGTTCAGAAATGACTATTTTGGCAAGCTTGCATTGACAAGCTTTCTTAGAATCTGGCCATTCTGGTTGGAGAATTATCGCCTTAATGCTTTTATCCAGAGTGATGTTTGCAACTTCTTGTTAGGGCAGGGCATTTTCGAATACCTGTTGGTTTTTCGAATCAAACCAAATGTTTTTTGAAACTAATCTCGAATACCTGGAAAATACATATTGTAGGCAATTTTTCATTGTAATTGGTCTTTCAGACATATAAATTACTGCAAACATCTACTCAAGACAGTTTGCTAGCTTTAAGAAGAAGTCTTTAATACATTATTGATATTGGTGCCAGACTCGTATATTTAATAGCCCAGAATGGAAGTTTGAATTATGACAAAATAGCACTATGTTGACTTAGAATTACCTAAAGACAATTAAAGGAGAGTTTCATACGCTAAACTTAATCCCGAATCAAATTTTTGTTTCCATGAGTCGTTTTTAAATGAATCTTCGAGCTTCATTTTTTGTATACCCAGTAGTTCTAATGAGACATGGAAGTCTCCCTCATATCATTAATACAAAATGTAATTTTTTATTGAAGGTGAAATTTCGAAGCTTGATAAAGTGTGAATACTAACAATGGACCAATATACTGAACATTAAAGTAATTCGTTTTAATTTATTTAATGTTGTACTGGGATTAGCCGACTTGAGTACAATTTGATCTCTGACTGAAAAGCCAGAAAGTGTGAAATACAGTGTTTTTCCCCGAAAATAAGACCTAGCCTGAATTTTAAGAATAATTTTAATAAAAGCCCTCAAAATAAGACCCAGGCAATAGCAAGAAATCTCTCCCACATTTTTTGAATGATTAATTCAAAACGTGTGAGAGAGGAAGCGTGTTATTTATTAGTAAATGGATATTGGTTTTCACATTCTGTATATTCGAAAATCTTCTAATTCTCTACTTTGTCATTTTGTTTTTGATGGATGAAAATAAAAGACGCCCCCCAAAAATAAGCCCTGGTGTCATTTTTCAGAAGAAAATTGAAATAAGGGACTGTCTTATTTCCGGGGAAACACTGTGGCAGCACCGACATTCTTATTTTAGGATGACATTTTCCGAATACAAATTGTACTTGAGTTTACCAGGCCTAAGAGATCAAACTTCTAATATGCTAAATTAGTTTTGGGGATGGATGAAAATTTTTCACCAATCACGTTTCAAATTTTTCAAAGCAAGCGCCACTACTGCTATAGTTCTCTTACTTGACACCGGGCTCAGATTGCACTAAAATAACTACCCAGAACATAGGCTTCTATAATAATCGGGCCCCAACATACTTTGGAATAGGACAGGATTTACATATTTATCCCAGGAAACTGGAAAGACAATTAGACAACCCAGTCCGTTTACCAGTCCATGTCATGTATTGTTTTTGGAGGCATGGGCTCGCGAATCTTAGTCTGTCCTGAGATTCGTTCTAACATGGATTCACGTATATATGAAACCTATACATACAGATATAGTAAGTCAAGGATGTAACTTATTGCTTATTTTTGGCACGATCTGGGTTCAGATTTGACTTGTCCCAACCTAAAAAGCAATGAGGTGTAAATCAGAACAACTTGTGCTAATGTTACATTGATATATTCTGGCCGGTCATGCTTCGTAGAACGCCAGTTATCAAGAATTCTGTCTAGAACAGCAGCAGGCAAAAATTGAGTTTGATTGGTGTGCCTGGGCAGTCCACCTTTGAACATATATGTAATGCTCAAATTAAACTTTGAATTGATGGTTTGCATGTTCTAGTTCAGGGCTACTCAACTGGCGGACCACGGTTCGAATTCAGACCTTTCAAGTATTCGATTTGGACCGTGTCTAATTTTTTTTTATTCTGGAGGATTGTCTCCATTTAACTTTGGATATGTAAAAGGATGCGGAATATTTTGCGTTTACTCGTTTTCCACAACTCGCGTTTCCTTTTCAACAGAAAAGATAGAGTTACTAAAATATAGTTAGGCACAGTATGAAATACATTTTCTGGCCAGACCGGAACCCAAGAATTTTCAAGTTTTGTATACGGACCTTTAGCAAAAATAGTTGGGTAGCCCTGTTCTAGTTTCCAATGCATGCTAATTTCGAGCCCGGCGCAAAAATCTATAACTTGGATTAGTGCAATTTTGCTTCTAAAAAGGAAATTGTAAGCCTTTGCGGGATAATTGTTTTTGAACTAATGTCGCCTCGTTTACACACTGTATTGCGTGACAATTACATAGTCTACCTGCAAAGTGATGGGTCGGAATAAACTGGAAAATCACGTTTTAACGCTGGTCACATCACTTCTTATCCGAAATCAATCCCGCTTTACTTACTTTATCTACTTTGGGAAGGAGACGCGCGAACGCTGTCTCCACTATCATAAATTACGTGATCGAGTTACTCGCATTTGGAGCAATCGCGAAGGTCAACTGGGCCCAAGTGCAATGGCCCAGCCTCGCCCCGGCAGCACGGCCTGCTTGATCGCCGTAGCTGCATCACCAAGTAAGTATGCTTTACGCGGGCGAGTTTGAACAATAGAACTTCGCAAATATGCTAATATTTGTGGTATATTTTTTTCTCGTTGCGCTTGATTGCGCGTGACGTAATTACAAAAGTGTGAGTCGGTTGGGCGTAAATAATTGCTCTGGCGCGTCAGATGAATGTTCAAAGCCAGCTGTGATTTAACCTAGTTTCTATGCATGTTACGAGGAAATCCGCGCGATGTCGTTGTGTTTTAACGCAACGATGGGCTTTTCACTTCATGGAGTAAATACCGAAGTAGCTTAGTAACATACCTTTTCAGTCAAAAATCGTTTCCTTCTGATTACGAGCAAAGCTCAAATATATGGATACGCAAACTAAACCGAAATAGCACCAGATCTTTCACAGTACAGGTAGTCTGACACTCAGATCACTGAGATGTGAAGTTGTGGAACAAAACTTTTAGGTGGAATGAAAATCCCATAGGTCGCACGGATACTTTTGAACTAAATAAATATAGTCTACTAGCCACTACAACAAGCTTTAAGTTATGGAATTTTTTGTGCACTTGGCAGCACTGTTGTTAATCAGAAAAGCAATTTCCTCACAACAACAGAATAATCCTTAGG